TTTCAGCAGTCACTCAAAAATGCATCTGCCAGTGCCCCTAACTAGCACTTCTCAGTGCTCCTCTAAAAAGCTTTCAGATGCATGTTCTGAAAAATAAAGTTAAAACATGTTACATTGATTCTTGCTGCAATCTCAGTACTACCCAGAGAGCTCACTCACTCACAAGTGTGTGTGTCACAGTGTTCACTGGGGACTTCTGTTCAGTGGAGACTGTGGTGCTGGATCTCCATGGTAGGATGTTCTCCAGCTTGTCCCATAGACTCACCATTCCCTCAGCCATAGGAACGTGGAGCAGGTGGTGATCCCTGGTCTCTGTCTCTCATATACTGAATCTCCATCTCAGACTTTATCAAAGGAACCACAGTGATCTGTTGCATCTGGACTTCCTAAACCAGCAAAGAAGAGGCAGGATTTGGGCTGCCCTGCACAGTTCATGGTGAAATGTCATTTGGTGATACAGAGAACTCAACACAGTGATACTGAATCTCACAACTACACGGGACTTTTTCCCCTTCCTAACTTCCAGATTTGAACACCAATGTCTCACAGAACAGAAAACACAAAGGTTCTGATGTCTCCAGTGCCTGAAGTTTCTGCATTAAAAAGGAAACCTTGATATTCTTTGACAGACACAGAACCTAAACGACCCCCTCCCCTTATCAGGAGACAGGCTCATTAGTGCAGTATGCATTGGCAGTTAAGCACCACAGAAGAGAAAAAGCTGACCTGGCAGCCACAATGCACTCATTCAATTATTTTGGTGCTCATGTCCTCCTATGTATAGGACTTGCCCAGAAGCAGTTAAGGTATATACAGGCAGTTTTTTAAGCTGCAGCATACTGGAAGAAGACTGAAAGCAGTAAGGAGTTCAATGCAGCTCAGAAACTGTCTTGCATGATTACTCTGTCTTCAAAAACCAAGTCAGGCACAAAGGGAAATAAAAATAACCAAGGCTGGAGCTTTGATGCTTCAAGAGAGGAAAAAAAAAAAGTCTGTGCCCTCTTTTCCAAGCACAAGTGAAAAACTGCATTAACTAAAAAGAGTGCTTGGCCCCATGCACTGTGCCATATCGACAACAGCAACTGCAGTTTAATCAAAAAGCCTCTATTGGCAGAACGCGGCACCTCGATGGTACCTTTTAATTCACAAACATCCCTCCCTAAGAGGGATGAATTTGCATGTTAGCTTGCAGAGAACCTTCCCTGTCAATGTAAAATCCTACAACTCCACTGCAGTCTGATGAGCTGTACTAGTAATCACTAGCAGGGAGTTTGTCCCAAAATCTCTGGGTGCAAACCAGGGCACACTTAAAAAAGCATTTTCTCACTCTGTCACTCCCACTCCCACCCCCACCCACCCATCTCCTGGAGTAAATTACAAGAAAACTGACTCTTCTCCATCATTCCCGTTACTTAAGTGATCTTAAATTATTCAAAGGACTGGTTACTCTCCAGCCTTATTAATTCAAGCAGAAAGTGTGGAAAAGGGAAGACTGACAACACACACAGCAATTCACTTCTTATATCCTAGCAAATATATACAAGGAATCCATTTTCCAGAAATCCAACTGGTACGTACTGTAAGTGAGCTGAGCGCCCACCGTTGCAGGTTGTTTCACATGAAGAAGATGCCATTGCAAAAGAGTGCCAAGAAACAGCGGGGTGAAAGACTTATGTGACCATGTGGATAAGTTACAAGGGGCTTCTCCTTCACTACAGAGCACCTACCTATCTTCCTCTCCGTATATACACACATATATACACACACATACACGCACACACAGAGATAGATGGATAGATATAAATACAGGTGTGCACACGGGCAAACACGCATACATATATATATATTTATATATGTATATTTTCTTTTCCAGTTCTTGGAGTGGTTACAACTACTTTAGTCTACAAGGCATCCTAAGGGCACTTCCTGGCTCTAGCAATAACGTCCATCATATTGTGGAGAGAAGTAAAGGGAGTATCATTGAGGGAGAAGAACAGAACAGTTTTCTATCTTGTATCATATCATGTAACAGGTCAACACCCCTGAAAACTATCGTTGTTTCTGAGCCCAGATTTTTTCTCTCTGTGTTCCAGGAGGGCAAATGTTCATCTTGTTCAGTTGCTGTGTACAGAGGTGCCACTATGTGATTTTCCCTTTTTGGTGGATAAGTAGTTGCTTCCAAACAGTGTGGACTGTATGATACAGCATCCTATGCATCATTTTTTGTTGGTTTGTTTAAAGGGAGATTAAAAGAGTTTTGCTTTTTTCTTCATGTCGTTGCGTCTCCAGAGAGGTAACTTGTCAAACTCCTGTATCGTCATGCCAAATATTTCTTGAAAAACTTCAGGCGCTAAATGACGCTTTGAAAAAAAATAAAATAAAAAAAAAGGAGAAAAGGCAATGGTCAGTCAAAGCCAAAGAGACACAAGAGGAGGTAGGAGTTCCTTAGGGATTTCATGTTGCTGTGTAAGAGCCATTGCTGGAAAAAACAAGGCTTTTGCAATACATGTATCCAAGTCCTCATGAACTCGGGTGCCCAATGAATCAATTAAAGTTTTAAGTGTGAGAAGTTTACAAAGGAAATCAGTTGCTGAATAAGCAAGAGACAGAAAAATTATTTGTCTGAAGTCATCCAACAAGAACTGACAGCCCAGAGAACAAAACTAGCTCCTGCATGCCCCTGTCCCAGGCTTTAGCAAGTCACCTCTGCTTACATGTGGAAGTCCAAACAGACACTGGGCTTCAGGAGAGCTCTGCAGGAGGGTTGCAGGTTCACATACTACATTCGAAGTGCTGAGAAGAAAGATGTCTGGCCAGACTAACTGTCCAGCACACTACTGCTAGTGAAACATTTTTTGGTGCTGTCTGTCCCGTGCACAAGGTACTTCTTGTCTAGCCACTTCAGAGTTCACTGGATGGAACTAGAGTTCCCTGTGGCACTAATGTAATACAGCTTTGAATTCTGACTAGTGATCACATACCTAATAGTCTAAAAATGGGCATAAACCCAAATTACCCAAATTTTTGTGGCTTCTTCCATTCATCTCCACAGAATATTAACTAACTACAAACGACTTAAACATCTCCAGGATTCCATTGGGCTGCTTAAGTCTTTCTAATCCACGAAGTTGTAAACTATTTTTATTTGTTGGCAGAGATTTAAATTCTTGTATTTCTGGATATCATCCAGTCTAACTAAGTCACAGCACTCATGACTTTTGATTGTCAAGGATGGCTGACACTGACTTTTAGGTAAAAGATGATCCAAGAACAAACAAAGTATTGCTCCATTCCAATATGGCACCTATGACACTTGTGCAATTTTGGGCTTTTAACAAATCCACAAGTATATTATTAAATGCTTGAAAACATAAGGGGTGAGAAGCTCAGTCCATGAGCAGGGAGACAGAGGCGTGGGGCTCCCAGCTCAGCACAGTTAATGGAAATAAGGCTGCTTCCTCCCAATGTCTGATTCCTCTTTCCCTGATTAGTGCTGAGAAATCTTCCCCGTCTAGCCAGGACCCACACTTCAGTGTTTCAGCTGTCACAAACGATAAACAACTTCAGCAGGAAAGAGCATTTAGGAACTTGCTTCTCTTACCTCAAGCCTGGTTCTGTCTACATCTTTTAGTATTTTATTTCGCCCTCTGTTGGTCACCATGAGTATTTCATATGGAAAAATCTGTTAACAATGTATAAAAGGGGGAAAAAGAGATATTTATATTTATATTTATAGTCTAAAGCAGAAAGAACAAAATGTGTCTCATTTTCATAAACACACAAACACTTGTTTTCTTTTTCAAAGGAATTAACAGCTTCTTTTTTTCTTATCATTTTTTCCTAACGTTGCATGGAAGACAAGCCCATCTGGACATAGCCAGGGCTTGTTTAGTATTGAACTGCCTCATATTGTGAAGCCACTATGTACTTGTCCACCCCACTCATTTTTATGTTGTATATAATACATCGTCTGGCTTTGGTCAGATAGAGTCCTTCCTAGTCAATACACTTTCTCATCCATCAATGTAAAAATTTATTAAGGTAACTGCATTTGCTGCTCATTGGTCTAATGGTCTAAAGTGTGGACAGCTCTAAGGACAGACAATTAGTGAGCAGACTTAAGAAAAAAAAAAGTCAAAAGTTCAGATCTCTGAATCAACAAGATATTAATTTGTCAGTGCCACTGCATTCAATAGAATTTATCACATAATTTTCTTCACCTTTTTGGACAGTTAAAGAATTCAAAAAAACTGCCCACTGTGTTTGCTGGCTGTGCCATACACACATGGATTAAAGGAGATACTTTTGTAGACATATTTGTCCTAAGCATCTTAATCTGCTTCAGAAGAGTATGTGTCCAGCACATCTCCCATTAACATTCCCCTTGATTGCCCTTTACATTGCAAAGACTGTCCAGAATTTATACACAGTCAGACATTGGCACATAATCAATTCCTGATTGCATGTTTTACATGCACAGGTTCTTTGAAGTAAAATGTTTACTGTCAGTGGGTCTCAAATCAGCCTAATCCAATAGATACAATGCTGCTTGGAAAGGATTTGGAAAATCTCAAAATCAGTTTCTGGAATCATCCCTGGCAAATACAACTCTCTTCTAGGATTTTTCTCCTTGGGCAGACATTTCCATGCCTGGAATGACTTAGGAGAGCTTATGTTCCATCTGCCAGAGCCTCTCTAGAGTCCTTCTCATTGCATGTCTCTGCAGAGTGGGAAAGCAGCATTCCCAGACCCCTCATCCAACACCTATTGGGGTCAGTGAAGTTTTTCCGTGAACTTCAGTGGCGACTGGCTCAGCCTTTACTGTCATTTATGGGTCTTGTCTTCCTTGCCCACTGGGAATAGGAGTGAGACAACCAAAACTCTTCTGGAGAAGTAGCTATTATCAAATGTGATTAATTACCTTATTTTAACATCAGAAGAAATTCAACCTAATCAATTTTTGTGCAGTACTCAGCAATTAAGTTCATTCCATTGTTAACAATTGTCCCAATGAACTTTTCAAAAATATAATAAATAACATTCAGGCATCAGTGAACACACCACTGAGTTTATTGTAAGTAATAATAACTTAAATAACGTGTGCTTACATACCAATTGTAAGATATGATTCTTATGAGATTCTGACATTGTCACAATTGTACAATTAAGTCTATACTTGGAATTACATTGTTTATGTTTGATACTGGAAATGGCTACCATATACAGCATTATAGGAAACTAAAATGTAACTTTTCATATTTAAACAGGCAGAGTTTAAGTCAAGATCTACGGTCATAAGTACATTTTATATTTAAATATTCATAACAAGGCATGTCTCAATCTGGGTTGGCAGGATGCACAAATTCTGTCCTTTCTGGAAAACCATTTGGTAAGATTTGGTCCTTCTTAAGGTTACTAATTTTTGCATGTGTTTCATGCTGACTTTGAGTTAGCTTCTTTTACTTTATCAGGTTTAAGTTACTGTTGGCCCATTGACATGAATAAAAATAGTGCCAATTCACACATGCTGAGGATCCGGCATCAACTTTATAAACATCAACAGAAAGTGTTCTATTATCTCACCAAAATTGCCATAAATTTTATCATTAATAATACTGACAGAATTTGTCACCCAAAATAACATTCCAAATCACTGGGTGCATCAACAGCAGTGGTGGCTTTAAGAATTTCTATTGCACTGAAAGAGAAATTATTTGGAATAAAAAGTAGTAGCTCGGGAGTTGATAATGTCCCCAGGGTCTTATTTATATAATATATAAAACCACTTGTAACTATACATTGCTCTGGGGTCTCAGCTTATAAAGCCAGGGTTATTGCCTTGTACAGTTTGTCTGGAGGTGACTCGGAAGCACACGTAGTGATCTGGTTTGCAAAACCAGCTCCTCACTTAACTGTAGAAATTCTGATCCTTGTAAATTTAGCAAAATCATGATTTCATGGAAGGTTCACCAGCAATAAAGAAAGATTTAAAACACAGCTCTGGTTTAATTCCCTCTATGTATTATGTTCATTTTTGACTCAGGCATCTCTAGACATAGCTGTAAAAGCATTTTAATTTGTATATTAAATTATAATTAGCTGACATCGTCTCTTTTTCCAATGAATCTCCTGGAGAGTTTCTCACATAGGGAATTCGACATTATTGACAGGTGGTCAGGCTAACAGTGCCAAGAGCTAAATAACAGATCCAGACAGACATCCAATCAAAGATCCATGTATTTCCCTAACTTTTACATTATGACAGCCTCCACAGTGTGTTGTGAGCCACAGTATTCTGCATCACTTTTCAAACTGGACAATTCTGAGATCTTCCCACTGAGTCTGGCCTACTGCTTTGGCTAGTGAAAGTCTGAGAGAGAACTGCCTATGAGCACCTTCAGTATCCTTCAGTTTGTCTCTAGAAAAGCTTCCTTATCCCAGGAAGCACCCCTAGCTGCCCTCAGCCTGCCTGAGCACTAACACCTGTTAACAGGCAAAGTCCAGAACAAAGGGAGAGGTTTGGCACATAAGGAGCAGGGACTGAGGTGAGGTAAAGAAAAGTAAGGGAACTAAGACATTTCCCATATTTTATCTGCATTTCACAGTCAAATCTTCACTGTCTTGAAGGAAAGTGAATAACATCTGCACTTGCCTTTGGCTCCAACATGTTAGGCATAGATACTCCTCTGTCCATTCTCATTCCAGGGACATGACCATCCGGGAGGGACTGCATCAGATACAGGTATACATCAGACACATAGGTTACACACACAGAGGGTAAAGGCACTCAAGTAGTGGTGAAAACAAAAGTGAATTTGCCCTGAGACTTCCTTCAAGTCTTACTACTTGGTCTTATTTTATAGATCATTGCCATGGCTACTACACTGTTACTTCTCTGAGGCTCACAGAGGGATCCTTCAATCCTCTCTGCCACCACAGCCTCCTGTCACTGCCAAGGCTGTTGAGAGCTTCCCACTCACCAGTATCACTTCCCAGCTGGATCTGGGCAACCCAAGAGAGTGGTAGGCCCTTTCCCACCCCAGTGACTAAGTAAAGTTCTTCTCTAGTCAAATACAAAGAAACATTAATTCAGATCCTCCCCAACAGCATACAAAGCTCTCTTATACCTCTGGGCTTTCCTTCCTGTCATTTACTGTATCAACTGAGGGACTTTTTTTTTTTTTTGTCTCTACAATGGGAAATTTTTACTATGAACACAAATGGGGATAGGGTAAAAAGGTGCTGTTTTTGACACAGGTACTGTTTCTAAGGAAATAACATTTGGAGCACAATACACAGACAACTCTCCTCCCCTCCCATAATCTTATTCTCTTTCCAATCATCATGATTTTGATACGCCATTAACAAAATATCCAAGTAATTAAACTCTTTCTCAAACTGCAATTTCATATTGTGATTGTGCTGAGGAGCCAGTTAGACTCAAACCATTCTGGAAAAAAACCTGCAGGCAGTATTTGAAGTAAAAAGGTTTCTATTTGCAAGCACACCTCTTTCTGGCTCATCTATGATGGCAGCACTGTAGAAAACTATTGATCAGCCATCTTGTCTGGAGAGCAAATTCCAGGGTAAAAATGAAGAGTTCAAAGCTCCTGCTATGGGAAAAAATTGCCTCCAGGAGAGACTTTCTATATGTCTCTGGGGCCAGTACTAGAGAGTCTGAAAATAAATCCACCCTCACATGTCCAGAGATGACTACTACAGATAACTCATGTATAAACAGACAGTGGATTTTACAGAGCAAGTCACAGAACTGGTGTGAGCTGCCTCAACCCAGCTCTGGGGAGGTAACAAGGAGGAATCCGAGGCTGTGCCCATTTTTTTGTTGATAAGAATCTACATTGGTGATTATGCCTAAACATGCAGGAAAATCAAAGCTATTGTCTTAAGAAACCCTTCCCTGTAGCAGAAATTCAGACTTGAACAAGTAGACGCTCTAGGTTCTGCTGTCAGTTGATTGATGAAAACCCGTACTCTACCTGGAAATCTGAAAAGCAAAAGAGAAGTCTCATCAGCTTTGGAGCGTGGAAGAACAGGAACCAGTTACAACCTACCAGATAATCCTTCTGTCTTCTGGTCTACCTGATCTTTCCAAAATCCCACCTGATTCTCTAGGGCTAGAAACATCTCTAATTTTGGACTTAGTTTGTAGATTCAAACACTCCAAGTATTGCAGTCCTTTTTATTTTGAGCAGGCTTCTCATTCAGGAAAAGCAGGTCCCTTTGGAAATATTAAGAGATCCACAGCCACAATCAAGTGAATAAAGAGCCAATAAAAATTCAAATGTGCAGAGCAGGATTCAGCTCAAGTAACTTCTGTCACAAGGTAGCTGTCTAGATTCCTCCACAGCCTATTAAGAGACTCAAGCACCAATAGAAGATGCCTGACCATAGGGTACCTGAGACAGTCAGGATCAATCTCACTTTGGAAAATAGCTCTCTCTCTCAAAACATTTCAAAACATTAACTCTCAAAGTTTCATAACTTTCATAAATGTTACTGTCAATTTTTATTAGGCAATGACTGATACCACATCTAACTCAGTCATAATGAAGATCATGAGCAGCAGTGGGGATTAGAAGGCACTATCCTCCTTTCTTCACTGTGGCACATTCTTCAGACTGCATGGTGCATGGTAATTTTCAGAGACAGAAAACACCATGTCAGAACTCAGTTCATATTCCTGATAACACACACGTTACTCACTTGCAATCTGATCCAATGCTAAAGCAGTCCCTTGGCATAAACAAGATCAGTTCCACATAGCAGCTTTGGCAGAATAAACCCAATATTTTCTACAGGTATTTGAACTGTTTGAGTTAATTGTCAAATTTACCAGAGGAAGTTAAAAAGTATTGAGCAAATACAAAGCAACCACATCCACAACTTTAAAATAAAACAGCAGAAATGATCCAACACCGTAACAAAAAGGCTCCTCAGCCTTACCTCTAACAGCACCACTCACATCCCCATAACTGTTGTACTGACCAAAATCTGTAGACACCGGCTGTAAAAGGAAAAGAGGGATATGCACATAAATTCACAATTCATGACTTCACAAGCAGGTTGGTATATGGGCAAAATACATTGCTTTATGTCTTTTATTTCCCTCAGAATTTTCACAACATTTCTTGCATCGGTTTCTTGCTTTTTTAACAATGTCTGAGGGAAGGGCAATTAGGTTTTGTCTGACTTCAGCTAGTCTTATAAGAAATATTAATCAAACTGAAAATCCAGTATAGTTAATATGGAAATAAATACCATGGATAATTAAAGCCACCTTTCACTTCTCAAAATCACCATTTTCTTACCCTGTGAAGTCCATTTTTTCCATACCCAGGGAGAGAAGAGGTTTTGGAGGCTGAAGCATGTGCTGTTGGATGAGGAAGGGAAAATATTTTACTGGAAAAATCCCATGGAAACTCAAAAGTTAGAACATTTGAGGAATGAACTAGCATAAAATACACAGTTAAAGTAGTCAAGCAGATACACAACTGGATACACTGACTTTAAGAAACTAATCTTTCAGCTCAAACTCAACACAAACTTTCATACACTCTCTAAGTTACATGCAGCTTTATTGTGCCATGGTGGCAGATCATCAAGAAAGGGCACTGTGGTTTTGCCAGGTTCAAAATCAAAATATTCTCCACTGAGTTGAAAGTAATGCTCAGGGATCAGCCAACAGTGCAAAATAACTTTTTATTCCTTATCTAGATAAGATTTTGCTGTGCAACTTAAGATGGGACCAAGATAAAGTACACAGAGAATCCAAGATCAGCAGTATTTGGACAGGTTTCCTGTTAAAGTCTCTCATGCAGGTCCATTCAGTTCCACTCTCCTAAGTGGCACATGTGGTTTATATATCATTATACCCTCTGAGCCTTTCATGAATTGAATGAACCTTTCTATCCTTCCTACTCAAAGATTATTGCACTCATGCTCCCAGTTTCTGCTGCTGCCCAAGCCAAGATGCACATGACCAGCACACTCCATTCTCTCTCACTGACATGCTGCAGCTCGCCACTTGTTGCTACAAAGAAGAAAAGGGTATTAGTTTTGGTCCTGTAACACTGCAGTTGACAGATGTTTGGATACTGACTTCAATAGGAGAACTATGGGAATGGGCAGTGCTAACTGAATTCAAACAAGTTGAGAATTTGGCATTCTAAACAAAAATTATAATTATTGAAATGTCCAGAGTGTGTTTTTAAACATAGATAAAAACGTGGATAAATATAAAGACTGTTAGCATAGCGATCAATCGCAACTCTACAGTTAATACAGTTCCTTCAGACAAGATCTTCCAAATAAAAATGCAATTTTTGGTGGTTTTTAATGTTATTTTTACCACAGAACTTGAGGCACTATTGCTGCCAACAATTAGCAGTTTTGGGAAAGATGCCACCGATTCCACAAAAGGCAGCTGATGGCTGCACTGATTATCCCTGCAAAGAGGGACGGACACAAATAAAGGAGTCCTCCATCCTGTGCTAAGGTTAATAAAGAAATCATAAGCTCTGAGTTGAGCAGGTAGACTCTGGCCCTGTAAAAATTACAGACAGTGAGGAAGAGCCACAGGCATCCTTTCCAAGGCCATCAAGGCAACACACTTCTACAACAGGGAACACAAGGAAATCTTGGTCTGCTTGGCAGCTCCTCCAGAGACTCCAAATAGACTCATCTTGTCCCTTCTTGACTCAAAGTACAGCTGCAGTGTTACAATGCACAGTGAATGAAACGAGTGAAATAAAATCTCCAAACCCTTCTCTGGAGGTCTGAGAAGGCCACAAATGTATATCAAAATGTGGGATGAGGCAAAGATTCTAAGCCACCAATTAATCAAAGTTAACTTTTTTGCTTTTGCTCTGGAACAGAATACAGCCAAATCAAAATGTCGGCCAAGGTCAAAACTCTGGTTGTGTTCAAAATATGCAGCTCTTCTGGTCAATGTTGCTGATTTTCTTTCCCTGGGAGAAGAGACTAAATAGGAACAGGAACCATCAGTTTAAGCAAAAGGTGTTATTGTACTTGAATAGCCCAGTCTATTAGCATGTATGCAATGTGACAGTCACCAAACACTTTAGTTCATTCCTTATTTATATTAGAACATCTCTCTTCTTAGAATTGCCTGAAAATCCTCAACTTCATATTTCTTCTAATTAAAATCCAGCCATGACACTCCCACCCTCACCAAAACCAGGTAAAGAATTAGGCCACTCTTTCAGGGCAGATCACCACACATACACATATCAAGCAGTCTTCCCAGTTGTCTCTCTTCTGGGACACTGCCTGATATGTGTAAACATGTTGTTTATTATTCACTGTTCATTATTAGCTCTATTGCCTACATTAATTACCTGGAGAATCGTAACGACTGGCAGAAAGGGCTGACCTACCGCGACTCTCCTTTTCCATCTCTTCTTTCAATATTAACTGTCCCAGACCAGAGTTGAGCTATAAATGGCAATTAAAAGATATATCAGTAAAATAAAGCTGATCAAGACAGTGGTAGAAATAGCTTACAGAAAACAAAGGGGCCCTTTCTGCAGGATGTTCAGAAATAGCATGAAGACAAATTCATAACCACCTTCATGAGCTGCTCTTCCTGCAGCTGCCGGCGCCTCTGTAGCTCCTCATCATCTTCCTCTCTTCCACTTGATCTGCGCCTCATGTCAGCTCCTGCTTCCATAAAACCACAGTACAGAGACAGCTTTGTGTACCAGTGCAACCACAGCTTGAAGATTTCAATGCCAGTTCAAAGTACTGGTCAGTCTGATTTGCTGAATAAACAAAGCAGTAATTTCTTGCAAAGTCAAAAGACTTTTTCAAAGCTCACTCTTAATAAAACTCACTTGGATAGCCTGCCTTATGGTTATCAGGCTTGCTATAAAATAAACAAGAGCTTAAACTGCACGTGAGCTCCAAACCAAGCAATGGTCCTGGATGCAAAAGCCAAGATTCAATGTAATAGAGAAAAGGAGCTCACATTGCTAGTTCTAGAAAAATGGGGTTTAACAGCACCAGTAACTAGATCAGCAGCTGAAAACTTAAAGTCTGATTTACATTTACACTTTTATCTAGACTCAGAAAAGCAAATCTGAATTAGCATTTCAAATGGAAAATTAAACTACAATAGTCTCCTAAATGAATACTCATATTTGAAATAAACAAGGCATTATTTTTAGTCTTAAATGAAGTAAATTAATTTGATCCATTGGATAAAGCTAAAATTAATTAAGACACAGGTGTTTTACCTTTTAGTTCCTTAGCTTTTATTGAATAATTTTTATTTTCTTGAATATTCTTAAGAAATAATCCAATTTGGATGCCAGGACTCTTCCATGACTACATAGAATGTGATATTGGTGCAACCATTTAGACAGCAGCTGTATTTTTTTCTGCACAGGCTATATCTGATATAGTTATTCACCAACCCTATGCTGGACAAACTCAGTGTTTCAAGTATGTAGATGTTTCAAATATACAGATGGTTTATCCCTGTAACTCATGTTTGTCAGGCTGCAATCCTATCTAAAGAACATGTTCAAAAAATTGCTGCTGCTGCATGTGCAGCCCCTTCAGTTGGTCACTGTGCTCTCCCACCCTGTGTCTTCTCTCCCAGCACTTCTCTGAAGATCCCACTGTGATGAAAGCCATACATTCCTTCACAGAAACCTGAAACAAACACCACCTCAGTGCTTCAGACATGTCTTCATGAATGAATCAGGCTAGACAGCTTATTTTATGCTATAGGGTCAATGAAAATTAACAGAGAAAAAAATACAAAGCAAAAAAAAAATCTAAAATGATGATGCACATGAATTAAAGAAAAAAAAATATGTGTAGTGCTATGACACAGAAGAAAAATACAAAGTCTCTAAAAACAATAACTCTGAAAATCAGGACTTATTTAGTCTGTTAATTGTTCCAATTCAGACATTGTTTCTTGCCATGAAATTAGTCATGTGGTTGGAAGCAATAATATTTTCTGTGGCATAACTACTATTAGATTAGGACTAAAAGATTAAATAGAATAACTGAAAGAAGTCAGGCTTGTGTGACACACCACATTTTTTAAGCTACTGCACTAGAGTTCACAAAATTTTCCTATGGGCTAATCTGTGTGATCAGTTCCAAAGTCCTTTAGCAAAACCTCTTCTACTCAGCGAAATTCAACAGTTTCAGATTCAGACATTCAGCGTCTCACCAGAAGAGCTGCACTTCGTGGTGAACATCTGGAGTGGACGCCACCTTTACTACCCATTTTTACAGCTCCACTATTAACCTACTTTGGTTACCAGTACCTTTCAAGCCGCATCGTTGTACCATTTGCTTTTGCATACCTATGGCAGCAAGGGAGGGAGGACCTGGCCAGTGGTCCGTCTCAATCTTTGGTATCTCGTTGGGTGCTGGTGCATGAGCTGCTGGGAACTTGGAGGACTTGATGATATCCTCGGAGGACTTGCTCTGTGCTGCCAAAGCAGCTGCATCTAGATGGCAATCAGGGAACTTAGCTATGTAATAATCTGTATCGATACAAAGGTCTTCCTTACTCTGGCGAAATTTTATACTTTACAAGTAGTTAATTTTCAGAAGTGAACACTTTCATGTTTTGCTATTCTAATTGCAATTTGAAGCAAGGTAATGCCTTTCTCTTGCCAATAGACTGGAATCGAACCTTCCTCTCCTCCCACATTCCCACCCCCAAAATAACCCCAAATCAGCTTTGGATTTTACTAGGGTTTCACAGTGTAAGAATGATTAGGCAAGAGTGAGAAAATTCAGCCTATGAGTATTCATCAATATCTCTTAAGGACAACTGATTATTAATGAAGATGAACGCAGATTTATGCACTGATCTGTCTTCCCTCTAGGGCAAGAAAACATATAGTTCAGAGGAACAGTACTAATTTTAACACTACTGATGATAATTATTTCTGTGAAAAGCTGCAAAACAAACAAAAAATAGAAACCTGAAACAAATACATTTAACTAGGGGAATTTTTTTTCTGCTGCATGCTCTTGCTTATAGCATGCAGTAGTAGCAAAAGCAGATGTAAACTTATTAATAAATACTAAACTCCATTCAGATCAACTTGGCAGGGAAAGGCACTTGCAATGCACTGAACCTCATCAATAAAATAGCTCAGCCATGGGCATCCACTTAAGATTCCATTCTAAGCCAAAGTCTCATAAAAGCATGTGAGGATGTGCATTATGGCTTTCACTTCTTGACATTAAAAAGCAAAAAAAATCCAATAGGATTCAGTTTACATTAAACCCAGCCTTAACTACCTCTTAAGATGCAAACTGTTAGCTCAAATCACCTTCACTTACATGAAGCTATTGTATCAGAAGCAACTGTGCTGGACTTTTTTTCCTTTTCTCTTTTTGTTTTAAAAACAGAAAGACATCTGTTAACAAAGTGATGCCCTGTTTGCTCATCCAACACGTTCAGGGTAGTTTAGGAACATCAGTATTAGATATCATTGGTAATTCTGACCAGTTTATGACTGGGAAAATCTAAGCATAATTGCAGGCATGGAGGAAGCTGGTCAGAGTTTACAAAAGCATGACTTCAAACAGTACTTACGTATTAGAATTGGTGATGTCAGAGGTTAAACATTCACATGTTAATGGGAGGTGAGGAGATACATTAAAACCATAAAAATAAACAGAAACAATGTTAAGACTTTTTCCGAAATGAGCATATGGTTTGAAACTTAAAAAAAAAGAAAGGAAAAAACCCTGATGCAATACCAGAGCAGTGTAATTTGCAATTCCTGACTGCAGAATGGACTTCTGGGCTTTCCTACTCAGCTCAGTTCAATGCCTCTCAGCCAACTGTTCATCTAAACCCGCTAGAACTGTTAATTTGCCACTTAACCCTAAATACACTTCACTGGATAAAAAGTCTGCAAAAGGATGCAAACTCTCAAGAGTCTTTAAGAAGTGGAGTCATCTGTCTTTCACCACAGTGAATAAAAATCATCTCCTATGCACAGTTCTGTGTTCACAGGAGAAGAGAAGAGTGAACACACTCCATTGTAACGGGACCTTGTCCTGCAGTACTAATGACAGGCAAGGCAGTGCCCTTCTGCCATCACTGGTGTTTCAGATTTGCTATAGCAACATCTCCACCAAAAAGTTTAGTTCACTAACACTGCTGTCCAACTCAGAATCCAAACCCCTGGAAAAACAAGTACAGTGTATACCTGAGCTGTCTCACAGGGCCTGAGAATCAAATTAGCCCTGTCAGTGATAAATGTCACCTATAATACCTTCACTAATTAAAGATTCTTATTTGAAGCCACAGATACATTCAGAATTCCAGTCTGATAATAGCATCTCCATCTTTGCTGTTGAAGTAAATTATTATACTGCGTCTGTTTAAAGTAAGGAAATTTCAAGAATTCCCTGTCAGAGAAGAGTTTGTTGTTAATGCATTTTAACACGGACCAGTACCTGTATTTTGAAAATATAAATTTAAAGAAGTGAAATATTGAAAGGCATCATAATGCTAAAGAAGCAGCAAAATCCCAGCTAGTGGCAATTTTGCCATTAATATCCACATGGCCAAGATTAAACCATATGATCCAAATGAAACAACATGCTTTAAAACATAACCACTTGGCAGGACATGCAGTAACAGCTGTTTCAAACTTCGACTACTAAACTTATGCTTACAAAGTAAAAACTGAATGCTTTTCACTAATCTGCACACCTTATAATTTAGTTGACATTCCAGTTTTGAAATAAAAAGGGAAAGATCATTTACCGTGCTGTTTGTAGATGGGCGGTTTCCTGTAAATGTTGACACCTTGATCTGTGATATTAAGACACAGAAAAAAAGGGAATATGAAAACTACTTCGGTTGTAGATAAAGGTAACTCCAGCACTAAAACAACACACAGACCAAATCAAGGATGTAAACAAGAAAAAGCCAGAAAGCTATTTCTAGTATTATACAAAATCAGATTATTTAAAGAAAAGAAAATATAAGAACAAGTGAAAAGTCAAAGACATGTGGTATGAAGTCCTTTGGAGCTGATTCTGTAACATGTAGATGCATCAAGTCATGATTTTAAAGTGGAATAAGTTAGAGAAGAAATGTAAGCAGGCAAGACATTTCAATGGTGAAGATACAAGCCATTTGGGGAATGGCTTTTCCCATTCCCAAATAACTTCTGGGGAAAATTGTGCTTCAGCTCAATTTTCTTTCCAACTGACTGGCTGGATTGAGCAGAGAATGCAGTGAGCCTATGATTCACTTCAAAATCCAGAGCACAAAATACCTGCCTAGGATACTGTTTTGAACAGCCACACTTCAGCAAGTCAAAAGGGATGCTTTATGCAATGTTTACTGATATGCTACTAATTCTCAAACCACAAGGACAGATTTCCTTTTTTTTTTTTCTGGTAACTTTTTTATGTAAAGCCCACCACATTGTATATCATTTATGTAAATCAGAATAAAAACATTTCCCAGAACTCTAATGCAGTAAATCTACAGCATGTCTAAAAGATACCATATTTTTACAAACAATAATCTAGGACAGGAACCGTTTTGTTCCAAACTACCTTCCCACCCAAGCCAACACTTCATGTATTCAGCACAGCTACAAATACAAAAGTTAATCCAAAATCAGTGCTACAGTGAAAAACTGTGCCAAAATCTTATTAGAAGACCAAAACGAGCTACTGGGAATTAGAAAATTAACATCAGAAACCCATTTTGCTACTTTGTTCTGCCTGAAAAAAGTTTTCAGTTACAACAGAATGAAAGATGAAAAGGAATTTCAGAAATACATGCGGTGTATCACAGAGCCAATTAAAGTGCTACAGAAGACAACCTTGCCTTTGGCATTAAGGAAAGCTAACCCTAAAATCTATTGAAACAGAGGCAAGTCCTGCTCTGCAGAGCCCTACATCCTTAACTATACAGGCAAAGGCATTGCACTCAAGGACACTATGGTATCTCACTCTTGTGTGTGATCTGTTATGGTCACTTGACCAGCAAATAGGTACAAACATCACAAGGGCAGTCATGCAGTGCTTTTGCGCACATCTACACCACAAAGCTCTAAGTGGGACAGGAGCACAGCTCCTTCTGTGGCTGCACCATTCTCCCACCGTGCTCGAGATTATCACAGCTATTCATGCTTCAGCTTACGCAAGTCCAAGTGAGCCAGGTTAGCGTAAGCATTAAACCAGCCAACCTTAGCCAGGCCAGGTCACGCTGGGGCTGAAGGGAGTGCACACAAACAGTTTATTTGCCAGATTTGAGGAATGGAGGAGGAGCTGTAACCTCTGGCAGCGTGGAGGGACACTAGGCTGAAGGGGACCTGAAGAATAACTGGATATAATAAGGCTTTCAGCTAGCACTGATGCAGTCAGATGCATGTCCACAACCCTATGGGGACACAGCCCCATCCCAGATGATCTTCTCAGATGCTGGAATAACTCTGCAGCTCACTTCAAAAGAGAGACTGCCTTTTATAGAGAGGACATCCTAAGGCATATACATATATATATCCTCGTGGATCTGCAGGTACGCCTGAGGACACCATGCCATTGCACAAAACAAGTAAAGAAACATCCTCACCTGCTTTAAAAAGAAGGAACACTAAATTAGAATTATTGGGTTCAAGACTGAAACAAGTCACAGCAATCTGAATGTACAACATATGTAATGGTTCACCGGCCACTTCTTTTCTGCATGTCAATCAAAACCAACTCCTAAAATTAGCAGAGCTATGCTGGTGCTCATATGGTGCAACTGGGAGAAAAATCAAGCCCTACATAGCTCATATACAGCTTACAGGCCAAAACCAGACTCTGAAAACCAAGACATTCTAACAGTGAAACACCTGACCAACAGAACAGGCAAAAATCACAACGAAGCCCCACATTTCTTAAGGCACTACTCCTCTCAGCAAGCCGAGAAGCAGTTCCAAACCCTGAGGGTGAAACCCATGGTAAACAGTGTGAAACGATGGAGACAAGACAGAAGTTACAAAGGCTACATTCTACACTGTGACAGGACACCAAGACACATACAGTGCCAGCTCCTACCTGGAACATGGAAATGTTTAGGGGCCTGAGCGTAAGTTGGAGTGAGAGGGCGACTGTCAGGCCGATAGGGGACAGGGGAGTTCCGACCGCTGGACGGCTCATTGCCTCCAATGAAAAAATGGAGAAAACAAAATGAGAAGAGGGAGAGCAATTAAAAAAAAGAAAAAGAAAAAAAGCAAGCCCAATCACACCCAAACAAAACTGGTGGAATCAAAACTTCCAGGAAGAAAAGAAGTCGAACCAAAAATATAAATACAAACAATAAGGAGAACTGGTAGCCCTGGGTGACTTTTTTTATCTCCCTGATATTCCTGCAGAAACAAAAATTCATGTTCAGGCTGGAGTTGAGGTTTGAGCAGCTCAGACTCATTCTGACGGCATGCAGGCAGGAGCTGTGTGCTCAGAGCCGGTGCTTAGATGGGCAGTGAGGAAAAGAAGAATGGAAGGTTACTTGGCAATCAATTTTTAGTATGGAGATTGATATTTGGAATTCAAAGGCGCAAACATGGAGCATAGTATCAGATATGCAACCGAAAGCAGATAGAAGCAGATGCTGGCAGTTACTACAGTTCACTAAACCAAAAGTGTACAGAAACTAGAAACAGAAAATAGCTGCTAGCTCACTTGGCCCATATCAAAAGGCATAACTGTTCATTACACACTCTTTCACTGGTTTAGAAAAATTCTGATATGCCAAAATAATTTGTAAAGCAATGCAGCCCATTTGGTGGCTGCACCCACATTGCTGGTGACACTCCAAATCTCTGTCAATGTCAAACTGGGCTCTGATGACAATATTTCACCACTGCTGATTTAGCAAACCTGAATCTAATGCCTAAAAACCTTAGTTCCATTTTGCACATACTGTTTGTTCCACTTGTAGGATTACTCTTACTGGGACTACTTTGCCTCCTAACAATGCACCTCAGCAATCCAACGGCCCTGAAAGTTCCTATGTCTTGCCAGAGCAAGAGGGCTGTTGCAGAACCATGCTGGTTGATCCCCAAGTATCGAGACTTAGCAGCCAGATATCCAAACACATGGCTCTGTGTGTACCTTAAAAGAATGCTGCTGCCTTTTACACTGCCATTCTTCATACTAGGGAGAACCATCCGCATGGGTGCTTATTTTACATGAGTGGGGATGATCACAAGTGAAAAGTAGGGGAACATCAAATCCCTTCCATTTTTCAAATATGCACAAAGGCTTAGAAAACCTTAGGAAAGCAGATTAAGAAAAAAATGGAGTAGAGGGGTGGTGAGAATGATAACAAGTACAGGAGAGCTATAAAACACAAGAAAAAGGAAATTGCAGGCCTCCTTTCACCTACAGGATTCCTATGTCCTGTTAGATGACCCAAAACCTTGGACTCAGCACATTTCTTATTTATATATTTGGGGTGGGAGATAGGTGTGGGAGCAGAAAAAAAGAAGTTTTCCTTACAATTTAAACAAAAAATCATCTTTTACTTGAACAGGCATCTGCCAATTTAAAAGGCACCAAAAGGGAGAAAAAAATGCTCTTTACAAACCTTGCTGAAAGAGATGTGCCACAGAGGCCTCTGCCAGTATACAAGTTAGCTCATCTGCATATAGATGTTTTATAAATTACATGCCCATTTCAGGGGGCTTGGTTGTACAAAATTTTTCCAGAAGAATGCATGTGCAAAATTCTATATTTACCACTTTGACATTTCAGCCCTAAAAGACATGATGTTCTTTCAACCACATGACTTGATAGTGGTTTTCTAATTCGGGTGCAGCAATGCTGAGCTTCTGGCCAAGTAACAGTAAGTGCTAGGTTTACTAACTCTGAAAAGCAGTATGAATGATTAATTAAAACATTTTTGCCATATCTCAATCTATCGTCCGTTACTTAGCAATTCTACTTCTCCAGCCTTTGAGATATTGTGATGGTGAAACACCTCACTTGGTTAAGCTGATTTTACTTATGTCTTTTGTTTGTATTGAGAAATTATGAGTTACTTTTCAGCAAAATCATTATTCTATAAGGCAAAAAACCCCCCATCAATATTGATATAGTCTCAAGATATAGAGACATGTCACTCTGCCTTTCTGCTTCCATTAGCAATTAGTTCGCTCAATGAAAGAGAAGAACAAAAGGGATTTATTGACCTGTGGACTTGTCACAACGAAGGAGTCACAAATACATTTTACCTGTTGGGAACTGGGAGTCAAAATGTGGGCATGTTCAATTTGCAATGCCTCAATCACCAACGCTAAAAATACAGGGAAGAAATCCTTCTTATACCCCTCCCTATTTCAGCTAGATGCAACTCAGCATGCATAAATGTGTGCTGGCTAATCTTGTATCTGGGACACAGATAATTTGTTTAGAGAGAACTGGTAATGCTGTATAATGCATCCAGTACCAGACAATTACTGTGGTACCATCCTGCACATGATCTACAGATGTCTCTGCTGGCTTGTATTTCCTGGGGTTCCTGTGCAGTCTCTCCCTTCCTAATTACTCCTACCAATAGTGACAAATAACTCTCCTTTACACTTTCTAGGATGGCAGACTCATTACCTCCAACCTCTGCAAGAGGGAATGGTACATCTACTTAGCTTCTCATTAGACCATCCCTGAGGAGACCACTCTCAGAACGAGGCTTAAGTGCTTCAGATGCAGCTGTAAAATTACCCACAGTTTATGGAAGCAGTGCCAACATCTGCAGAGTGTGCATATGCACACAGGCAAGCAGAGCTCCTGGCTGCCTGCACCTGCCTCCCAGGGCCTGCTTGCAGCTTTACATAAAAGTAGGGTCTCTGCATGCCCTGAATTTGGGTTCCTTGCTATGCCTGCACAGGAATGCCTCTCTCTTACTGTCTCAGATATACCATAACTACTGTTAACTCCCCAAAGCAACAAGAGCACTCCACCAACACCAACGCAGAAAGAACTAGATCCCACATTCAACATAAAGTTGGATATGCATGTGTGTAGGTTGGGGGGGTTGGAGGTTAAGAGATAACAGAATAAACTTAATATAAAAATCAATCCCTAGAGCACAGAAGCCTCAGAAGTGAAATTTAGAGGCTTATTTTTCCTTTCATTCTCTTTGCTCCATCAGGGAGTTCTTGTTTTCTATAGCTCAATTTGTTAAGCAGGTTGCCATAGCAGTCAGGAATATAATTGCTTGCCTATACACTGCACAGTGTAATGCAGGTTCCTGCTGCCTTCTGAAGTGCTCACCACTGGGCTCACTGTGTGATTCACAAGCTCAGTTCACAGAATCAAGACAGAAAACCCACATGCAAACAACACTGAGCCTTCTGTCAGCTTGCAGTATAGTTGCTCTACTTCTCAATAAACATAGGAAAACAAGCTCAAAAATACCTGAAACCCTAAGTCCTATCCAGGTTTTGTCAAATTATCATTCGTCATCTTGTCCAGATGGGTAGCTCTTATTTCACACACAAAACTGAAAATAATGGGACAGCCAAAACGGCTGTTTTCCAGAGCAGAACTTTCAGCTGCATCCACAAAACCCTGGAAATAGTTATCATGTACAGAGATTATTTGATTTCAGAAAGATGCCTCAGGGAAGGAAAGCAGGAACCTGTGAAAACCAAGGCGCAAATTCACAGTAAAGGTGGGTAGATTCCTCAAGGGAAGGGTCTGTGAGCAAAGGAATACACAATACTTTGGAGCTCTCTATATGGAAATCTTATGGGAGCTCTGCAATACACTTGAATGCCTTTGAAAAATTCTAGGCATGTGAGATGAAATCCTGGCTCTCAATAAGACTTTTGTCTCTGATTTCAGAAGGGTCAGGGTTTCTTTCATTTGTGGACTTGTTTTGATTCTTTTATAGCAAAGATAGTACTTTATTGAGACAAGACCAAATTCAATGGGGAGTCCAAATCAGATTAGATGAAGTCTAAGCTGATGCATATTACATGCTTTTCCAGCTTGTTCAACATATATGTTCCATCAACAAACTCTCACTAAGACTTTCTGAGGCATATTTAGTCCCTTTCACTCCTCCAGTTTCTTGACTTTTGCCTTTAAGCCTTATGTTGTATGAAAACACACTGAAACCAGACTAAATGCCTACTTTTCTGGCTTGATTATACAAAATAACACAAGTGAAATGTCTCATATAACACTTAAATTATCATTATGCCGTTTGGAAATCACACCCCTTTACCAAAGCAGTTTAGGCATAATCCATATTTTCTGACTCTTAAAAGAAGAAACCCTAAAACTACAGCTTTATGAGATCTTTCTTACAAACTTACATCAAGTTCACCTTCTTGCTAAAAGTACAAGTGAGAAATGCTGACCAAGTAACAAGGTGACCACATGATGCCTCTTTTTTGAATCACTGCAAATATATCCATCACATCAAATTAACTCCAACAGTGCTACTGTCCTCATTACAGATACATTTACAAGTTCTAATTCCTTATTAGACACAGAAGTGCTACTCCAGGAAAAGAGTGCAGCTCTTCAAACTCTGAAAACAGACACCTAGAATACCCAAGGCAATCCCTTAAAGGTAAGAATATCAGGGAGCTCCATTAGATTCTGGCAGCCAGTGCCAGAATGATCTCCCTTTTCTGCTGCACTCTGCTTCTTTCTCTCAGCCAGCTATTTGGCTGCTCTTTCAGTTCAGCCAAGTGAATTACAAGACATGGGTACCTGCTACTTGCCCCTTCTCACATGTACGACATCCTTGGCTGGTGAACACTGTCACAGTGACATGAACTGGAGCTTTCAGGAGCTTTGCTGAGTTATGACACACAAATGATGCTCAGGCCTTCAGAAAATTGTGGATTCTTACAACATCTTCCATGGCATATCTGATAAAAACCATCCCCGCCCCTTTGCCTACAGCGCTTGCAATCCCACTTGGCCTTTTGTGCCAATAACTGAGAGAGACACCTGATCTACACACCAGGTAATTCTTTGAAATCTGAAAACAATAAGCATGGATTTCCAATAGTTCTTCTCATTTATCTGTTGAAGAAGCTATTTTCTCAACTGAAAAAGAATGAAAATGCCACTTGAAAGAGTGTGAGCATTAATTTTTATTTACAGCAAAGAAATGTTGAAATTGCAAGGACTATGAATTAACTGCATGCTGAAATGAGCACTGTATCTATTTTTAAGGGTCCCAATTTTTTTAAGTGAGGTATTTTTTTAATAGTGACATAATAGGAAGGTGGACAGTGCAGATTAACAAAAATCATCTAAGAAAAGGCAAGAATAAAATTAGTAATGGTGATCTGAATGCCTAAAGATGTATGATGTTGAGATCTATTATCATTTCTTGAAAGTTCATGGCAACAACTTTCTTGAAACTGCTTTTGATTATCTCCAATTTATGATTAACTACATTCATCAATGCTGCCAGATTAGAATCTATGTTCAACTTACTCAGCTGCCTCTTTTTGAGTTCTTGAGTGATATAAGCTTGTGACCTTCTCTCCCAAAAGAAGAGATGGCCCAGTCAGAGTGCTCCAGTAGAAATTAACATAAAACTACATTCACAGAAAGCAAGAAACAAAACTAAAATCTTATTGAGTTAAAAATGAGTTCCTTGAAGGGATACAACAAAAGAACAATCCTTTTCCAAAACAAATAATGGGAAATAAAAGATTTAGTAGAAGACTAGATCCTTAAATAATGTAAATCATTGCAATGCTACTGCCTTTAGCAGAGCCTGCCAATTCACAGTAGTTGAAGAAAGGCCTGGAGATTTTAATTTTACTTTGCTGGTCTCTAATCATTGCCAATGTGGATAATAAAGATTAACTGCATTGTTGCCATTGATATGTATATAACCTTTTTCTTCTTCATATTTTTGATCACCTTACTCTCATTCAGGCAATAGTGTAGTCAATTTTTCAATGCATGCTTTAAGAATGTGGAACTAATAATTAAATTTTGTATGCTAACTGCTGAAGTGATTGTTATGCACTGCTTTAGAAAGAAGCTAAACTAGGCACATACAGGTTCTAAATAGAAAATGACAGTGGTTTTCTGTGTATTTCTAGCAGGTAAATGCTTGGTGGCTCTTCAACTAGGGCCCTTAGAAATGACATATTTCCTCCAAAAAAGGACATTATGTCTATGCTAACGTAGTTCTAAGTGCAAGGGCACATTTCGAGGCATGCTCAGCTACACAGCCAACGACCACCTTACAGAGATACACCTTATCAGCTTTGCCAGAATGCTAATAAATCTCCAGCCTGGAGGGTACTCCCTGGAGAGGCCTGGCTCCTTACCTTTGACATGGGGAATGAAGTGGTGTCGGAAGGGGGAGTTGGGGCGGGAGTCATGGTGAGAGGAGCTGAGACTGCTCGTGCGCAGGTAAGACAAGCGCTGCACACCAGTAGGGAGCAGCTCTGCGGCAGCAGGGAGTCGGGGGGCAGAACACAATGAAAACAAAGAAAAACAATAAGAGAAAGGCAGGGAAGGAGGCTTCAGAGGAAGGGAAAGAAAAAAGGCATTGAACAATTAGGATTCTGAAAAGAAGGAAGGAGAAAAAAAAAAAAGGTTAAAGACGTACCGAAGGGTTCATAAATGTTAGACAAAATTACAGGAAGTATTAGAAGAGAGGCTTAGATTTGAACTGCATCACTAATTTTACCATAACATTATTGGCTTAATGAGCTTCTGATCTATGCCTTGTTACCTGAAAGTAGCTTGCTACCAGCATGCAAACATCACAAACACTGACACTCAATTAGTTAAGAAAGCAGCTGGTTTGGAAAGTGCCTGACCAAAAAATGTCAGCCAAGAGGCATGCAAGCTGTTTTCTATTGTTTTAAGACATTCCAAAAATGCTGCCAACATCAGCTAGGGCACAGCAGGAGGAAAAGGCTGCAAACTTTTTCAGAGCTTGTATGTAGCACTCAATTTTTGAAGAACCTTATGCTGACAACGTCAATACAGCAGTTCACTTCTCTCTCAAGGGCTAGCTGGGAGCAAAAGAGAAGTTATCTGGGGCCACTGGGTTTATTCAGGGAGAAATTATTCTTGCAAATAACATGGTGAAAAGAAGTGCCATTAGGAGAAAAAAGGTAAATATACATGTGCTATTATTCAACATGAATAATTATTGTGGGAAAATAATTACTGTAGGAAAATTATTAAAGTAGTATTAGCAATTACCCCAAAGCAGGGTAGAAAACATCAGATGATGAATTTGATAGCATTACTTCTCTGTCATGTGAGGAACAGTAACAGGTGAGTTGAAGATGAGAACATCTGAGCAGAGATAAGTTTGAACAAATATCTTCTCAGAAAATCCCTTAGGGTGTGGACTTTCTGAGAAGATTTTATATTTGGATCCAAACTGTGGCTTGAGCCCATTCGCCCATCACAAGAGTTACATCAACAGAGACTGCTTCTGGGGAAGGTCTTTGACTGAACACAGACAGTAAAACTCAATCACAGTAGAGTCTGGAATAGGACCTGGATTTGTTCATATCTCTGATACAACTGATATAAATGGAAAAACCCCCTCAGAACTGTCAGAATCAAGAGACAGAAGTTTGCAGCTTTTTCATGCTTTCAAGTCTCTTTCAGTTTCAGTTGTAACGTCATCTTAAAACACAGTCATGTTGTCAGCACCAAGTATCAGACACAATTTGCTTCTGTCCCACCTCCCCTGGGTCCCGTAAATAAGGCATTCACTGACAGACACAATTGGCTGCTTTCAGCCCACCCCCACTAGGAAATGGCTACAGCATTCAAGTTCCACAGTGGTGGCTCTATTATAAATCTTTAATTTTAAAAATGCAGCTCCTATTGCATATGGGCTTTTGGCATCCCAACTGTTCAGCTGTAATCACCAAGGAAGATGAAACCGTGCGATTGTATCACTTAATTTAAAAACAGATTACAAAGATTTAATTCATTACCATACACAATAAAATCAGTCTTGAAGAGTCTTCAATGAATAGCATTTAGCAATACATTTTTACGCTGTTTGGGTGTGGATGAATAGTTCATTTTTATGTCTAGCTTTTATATACACAACCAGTAATTTTGAATGCACTGGGAACCTGAACGACCTGTACATTTTCTAGATTGCACACAGAACTTGCACATCACTGCTAAACCAGAAAATGAAGTCTGTGTTTTCAAGTGTTCCCAGGCAATTGCCTATGGCTTTAATTAAGAAAGATACCTTGTGAACCATGAGTACATGCTTTAAAAAATGACTAGCAATTTGGAACATATGGGTGTTTTGCTGCTGAATATGAGATTCTATGGTGGCACCAAGCTTTAAATGAATTTTTTAGAAGGGAGTAAACCTACATTACTGACTTCTGCATAGTCAAGCCATAATTTTTGCTTCCAATATATGATACTTTTTCCAAATTCCAGAATGAAGTTTGTGATTCACTGCTGCAAATTTTTGCTTGCTTTCAGAAACATACAAATATTTTAAAAATAATTGATTGGAAACGAAACCAGAAGATACATATTTATCACATAAGCAACACTCATAGCCTAGTGCAAAAGACTACGACAGTCAAGAACAAAAAAACAGGTAGAAAAATGAGATATTAAAATACGCAACAATTTTTCAATCCTGAATTTTCACTCCTAAAAGAAACAAGTGCTTCACTGCACCACTAAGTGGCATAATAAAGAAACAATAGTTTTACACATACTTCTAATGCAGTTGCCCTTACCAGGTCTGTGGAAATGCTGAGGGGAGCGTGACATGGTGGGTGTGTAGCTGTGACGACTGTACCCTGGAGAATTGATGGAGCCCTGACTAGTAGACCTGTGAATCATGCGATCCCGGACATCCTGGTAACCCTGCAGAACAGAAGCATTCACTAATAAATGTAAATGCACATTACACACCTTTAGCAGCACTTAATTTCCACAGATCTGAAGGCATCAGCAGAAGCTACTGAAATAGCAGTATCCCTTAAACTTTCAACCTACTTCATTATTACTGTTCTCCAGTGATCTGTTCCAAAGAGTTCAATCCATTTTTATAGTGAAGGACAAAGTTGATTCTTGAACGGTTCCAACTCCACCTGTACTTTCTGTTAAATTCTATATAATCCTAGATTTGCCCACATTCCCTGACTCCACAAGGGAAGCTACAGACAGAATATATCTATCCTGCCATGTCCTGCACAAGACATATGAGCTTGCCTTCAGCTGGTTAACCTGGCAGCAAGAATTCAAAAGCTACAGCACAGAGTCTGCCTAAATTTACCATGTGTCACAACTAGCTACATCAATAGGAATTTACTATCCAAATTAGATTCCCCTTGTATCAGAAAACATGACACCTTCTCATATAGCAAAATTCAATTTACTTGGTTTCCTGGGGAAAAAAGCCAACAAAAGAAAGAAACAAAAAAAAACAAAACTCAAAACAAACCCACCCTCCAAAACCCCCACAAAGCAAACCAAACTAGGACAAAAGGGAAAGGACTGATGTTAATGCATGAAGATTTACAAGAAATTTTATAGTCACTTTTTAAACACATAGAAATCAGTACAACTTTTAAGTTGCAAAAAAGCAACACTCTCCACCCTCAAAATGATAATGCATAAGCAATAGTATCTATTGTATCTTGACAAATTACTTCCCAAATGTTTCATGTATTAATTTCATTTTATTATGATATTCAAATTAACTCCTATGCAAAAACAAACCAAACCATAGTTCTGTTTTCTTCAAGACAAAACTGCAAATGTTTCAATGTAGCAAACATGAGTTATCATTTAGTTGCTTAGAGTAGCATTTTATCTCATGTAAATCATCCAGCTCTCAGGATCGGAATCCGCCTGTGCCACAGGAAGGAGGAATGTACCAGAAGTGACGCCTGCTGGACAAAGGGCTCTGCTTTACAAACAACAATAGAGGAGGAGTGGCTGCTTCATGTTTTGTACAATCTGTCAATAAGAGCTTAAGTTTCCTTCTTAGAAATAATTTTTGTTAAGTTTCAATATTAGAAAACATGTCTATGTGGCAAACAGAGAGGAATCAGACTGATAACAAAACCAACACCCGGATTTGCTCAACTGAATAACTGTAATGACAGTAAGAGACTGCCCCCAAAGGTTCCACCAGACTTACTTCTGCAGAAGGGGTAGGTGATAATGTCCTTGGAGACTGCAAAGACATAAAACATAAGGTTATGAAATATCATTGCATGCACTGGGCCAGAAAATGGTAATCTAAACATCGCTGCAGATACTCTGATATATGGCAATGTAAAGTGGCAATGCAGAAATTACTGAGGCCATTCCATCACCAGAATTTGCTTTTTCCACATTGCTCAGGAACTGGTCCATAAATCACTGAAGTTTAAAGTTTCTGGGAGAATCTTTATATGGGTGATTAATTCAGTCAAGTATCATGCAAGATCATCTTAGCCATCTAATCACTGTGGTAATTAAAACATAGCTGTGAAGATCAAAATCAGAAAGAGTTATTAATTTAATAACCATGCCTGTTATGAAGAAATCTTTAAAATGGAAATCAAAAGTAAATAAACTTAACTCAGAGTTTTGCATGGAAAATCAAAATACAGAATATCTTTCAGGATGAAGCATGTTTTTCCTCCAGCGCACACACTGGCAAAAATGTGCTTCTCCCCAAGGCCTTACATTTCATACTCATGCAAAGGAGCACGTAGTTGTCATCAACATTTCTTTGATATGACCTCCTTTAAATCTCTGTGTTCCTCCATGGTTATGTAAGAACAGACAGGAATTACAAGCAAGTGTATTGAAAGAACTGCACAAAGGCCAGTGGGCAGAAATATGCACAATATTATGAAAAGTTTCTATAACACAGATAGGGAAACTGAGGCAAGAAATACCTTTAGAAATGAGACATATGATTATGCATACATTGATGGTATGAACAAGAATAAAGGCCATGTATAATTACCAGTTATGTGCCCTTTAATCACCAGACAATTTGGAGCTGGAAGATGAGGACTTAATTATTTTCTTTGTGCACAAAACTTCAATATTATTTGTCATAATAAACTGGGCAAGCGATTATGCTTTTAAATAAGACCATAATTATTACAGAATTATATAGTTTTAAGATAGTATCTCAGAAGCAAAACTGCAGATTCTGGTCTAACTACTACAATAATGTACAACAGCAGTAGTGTAAAGCATATGCAGAACTTCTGGTATTAAATATCCAGCTATATATTTTGCCTTGAGAGACCATTAAATCTCACAGAGCTGGTGACACTGGGAATGCAAAGTATCCAAACAAAGGAGCTACATTTTTTTATTGGATACAAAACATCTCCTTTTGAGCAATTTTCCATAAAGTTTTTAAAGACTGCTTTTGATACTTTCAGTCAAAGCCTTGAATGTCTTCTACATTCTTATTTTCCTAATTCTTATAATCTAACAACAGCAGCTCTAAAAGCTTTGCTCTACATGAAACCTATCATACACAGTGCTTTGGACCATCATTCTCCACAGAAACCAAGAGCTAATCTAAAACTCTTAATATGAATCAAAAAAGCACATGTTGTGAGGTGCATTCCCACATTTATCTACTAGTAACTCATGTGTTACTCTAAATAAACAAATTTCCATCACCTGCTGTGGTTACCTAGATGCTAAGGTGATGGCTACAGTAAAAGGTAGTCACAGGAATCTAAGACTGGGAAGGCAGCCCAGAAAGTAGCCTGCTGAATCCATGTATTTTTTCCTTTCATATATTTTTACTCCCTCACTACCTGACATCATCTCGTTGCTTTTTGGGAAATGGAACCACACTCCACAGCCAAGTTACTGTTTATCATGCACAGGTGAGCTGTCATATCTCAAACTCTGAGGCTGCCAAGGAATGTTTGGTTCAGGGTTTATGAAGTCTTTTAAAACCTAGTGTATTGCAGAGTCTACACTATAATCAGTTTGAAATACATCGTGCAGACAGCTGAGAAAAGCAGCTCTTTTCCAGAACAGTAAACCAGTGGAAATACAGAGTGACAACTCCAGATAGGGAAGAGAAAGAAGAGGAAGGGGAATGGGAAGCGGAAAAAGACCCATTCCGACCAAAGACACAGTGAAACCCCTACAGCAACAGGCCCAATGCCCTATTGCTTTGAGATCTGAGGGTCTGCTCTAATACCTGAAGTTGCACAGGTCATTTTGTGCTCTGGGAAGTTTCTACAAACTGTATAGGTGTCCTTCTGTAACAGAGGTTCTCACTGATGCCATTTTAACTGTGTTTTAATTGAACTACCAGGTGGGATGCCTTCTCCATTTTGAAGCATCTATCACATTAGAAAAAACTTTTTCTCATTTTATGACAGCTTGTTTACTGAAAGCTGTTACAGACATTCAGTGCTTTCAATAGACAGAATACATGAAATAAAGGACACGGAGCTAAAATGTTCCTTCTCTCTGTCTCTCTGTCTCTCTCTCCACATATATATGTGTGTGTATATATATACATATATACGCAACAAAGATCAGAGCTGAGAAAAGACTTCAGTACTCATCAGGTCGCTGCTCACAGGGCAGAATGGCAGGACCTGAAGAACTGAGTATCTGACGGTTTCTGGAAACATTATCACTCCGTTAGTGGCCAGCCTCGCTAGCAAAGATTAATTTGCAAATTTCGTTCGTGTCTTTTAATCTCGTGCACGCTCGGAGCTCACCCGCGAGGGGGAGCTGTGGGAGAGCGCTGCCTCCCGAGCTCCACAAACATCGGGATTCTCCTGGAAAAGGGACCACGAGTGGGAAACCTGGCAGAGCATTTCCCTGCCATTGCAGTGAGGATGACAGTCTCATGCTGTGTTTTCGCACTTTCTGTGGCTAAAGTATGTCATTGTTTTGTAGCTCATTCCTTATAATTAGGGTTTGTCTCCATCCCTGGATCAACTTTGGTGCCTCTTGCACATTTCCCTTGTACACACAGAAATCTTTCTTAGCTGAGACTGGTGATTTTTTTTTTTTTTTATCATGGTGAGGGGCACTTCTAGTGTAGAATAAACTCAGGGTCCCCTTTTATTTAACACCACCACACACCCCCCCCTTTGCAAAGAGAATGCAGGTTAAATCACTCAGTCTGCAAATCCCTGCCATGACTAAACATGTCACCTCCTTTGCTTTTTAAAGATGATGGTGACTGATGTACCAAGACTGTTGTCACTCGACTATCACAACACAAACACAAGGTAAGGGACCACTCCACCCCAATGGGCTTGGGTTCTGATTAGGGCAAGGGAAGGGAGGAGAAACAGATACAAAGAGGTGAGATAACTTGCCCAAGGTGACAGAAGTCAGCAGTAGCATTGTGTGAAAAACCCAGTTCTTCTGTTTCCAGAACAAATTTCTGTACTCACTAGAAATTAACTGAATTTAATGCTGGTGAAAATATGATACAAGGATATGGTACCCCAAAGGCTTTTGCTTATTCCCAGAACAAGCATAAAGGCAGACAACTTACACCATACTGCTTTATCAGCTTCCAACATACTGCTTTGTCAGTAAGGAGCTTCCCTTTAAGGATGAACAAATAGTTCACCTTCTCTGGTGAAATTAGTTCTTCCTCTGTGACTAACAAGAGACTTGTGTTTGTAGTGGGTTTTGTGGAATGGGTCAGGCCTGTGGGAATTGGTCAGAGGTCACCAATGGTGACCACTCAGTGGTTTTGAATCAGGTGCCAGCTGGATACACTACCAACATAAATCGGAGGGGGGAAATTCTGTAATGTTCTGACCCATTAATCTCTTTATTTTATTCCTAAGCTGAATAGTCTCTTGAATTTTCAACTCATGTTATTATTTAAGAAGCTAACCCTATAAAACATTAAAGGACAAAGGAGAAAAACTGAGGGAGCTCTGACCTGCTGGTGGGCAGAACACTGCTAAGAAAGCAGATTATCAGTCACACTGATCTGGGCATCTACAGACCATTGGTGCTTGAATGATTTACTGTAATTCTTTTCTCCTCAGCTCAAATTCATACTCAATTCAGTTACAATCAGTAAAGTCACTGAGACTGCAAGGAGGTAAATCCATTTCCATGTCCATTTAGATTTGCATTCAGGAAGTCTGATTTACAGAAAGATGGTATTACATGACAAAACCTGCTTCACAGTCTGCACTGGAATCATGTAAATAGTAACTGCAGCTATGGAAATTCACCTGAGAAAACTGGGGACCCTACAGTCTGAAAGATACTTTTAAATACAAATTTAAGAAAATAGAGATACTTTTTCTTATCATTGCATGATACAGGAATCCTTACTAAATATCAGCAGTTTAAAATGTGAGGCAGGTATTTCTGTAACACAACTAACCCGCTTTCCCAGGTGGAAGAGCACTTCATCCTAACCCAGTTCAGATTTTATCCAGAATGTCTGGCAAAGTGCTCCGGCAATATATTTCCCTTCAGTATGTGTGAGATAAAGTGTCGTGCTGCTCTTAAGTCCTGCTTCTGCCATAGAATATCATGGTATTCCTCACGTTGTGTCGTGAATATCAGTGCTCCCCAGCACAATGTGAGGCTTTTGCCCCACGTTCTGGACTTTGCTGTACCCAAAGACTAGGATATCCATGAGAGTTATGAGGATTCACACAGAGACAGCCTGCAAGCCTCCCCCCTGCCATTCCTCTGCCAGTGGCTGGTGTTGATTTGGTGTCCAATTGTGCAGTTTCACACACGAGGCATCATCATGAGTGTTCCCATAAACCCCAGACAAAACAGACAAAAAGCACTGTGAACAGCAGCAGCAACAGCATCTAGGAGTGTCAATTAGAAGCGAAGCAGGCTCTGTATATAAAGCACACAGCGGAATGAGTTGCTTGTTGGTTCATTACCTCTCCAAGACTCTGTCTCTCCTGTCTGTCCTCGTAGGCGGAAGTGTAGAATGGCTCATAAGTAATTAGGTCTGGACGTTCAATGTCATAAATAGCCTTGACTTTGGGAATGGCTGCTAAATCCTTGTAATCAAGGATTTCATTGTCTACTTTTGCCTGAAGGTCAAAGACAGAAGATAAATTAACTTACACAAGTGCACTGGCAATTTCTGTTTTACACAATTTATGATTTTGTGTATTTGTTGTCACACTGTTTCTATGGAAAACTCTTTTTGGCGCTCTACATGCAGAGTGAATGCTTCTTGTTCTTCTCCAGCAGGCCTCCTCTGCAACAGTTCACATGTTTTCTTGGTTTAGGGAAGAAAGAACATGGCATAGATAGTTCTATATACAAAAGTTTCTTATCCCCAGTAGTGAGCTGAAAACTTCAGCTCTGCAAATGATTCATTTTTTGGCCTCAGGCAAGTATTGTCACCTTTCTGCTCTTGTTTTCCCACATGTAAAATGGTGATAACATCGATTTAGTTTGCAGATTACAGAGATTACAAGGGGATTCCATGCTGAAGACCACAGACAGGTATTCAACTTATAGCTGTGCACACAAGAGGAAACAGAACTTATTAAAAGGAAATAAAAAGACAAGGAGGACTGTGAGGACTGGGTATCCAAAATCCCAAATGAAATTATTAAATTGCACTCATCACTCATCCTATACCCAAGCTTCTGACTAAGACATCCACTGCTGACCAACTGCATGGTACTGGCATCAACTATTTTTTCCACTAAGACTGCAAGGAACTCTTGACTAGTTAAAAAATGGAAGTAGGAAATCAGTTCCAAAGTCAGATACATACACTAGAAGGAGCTAGAAAGAGGCCTTATATTTAGTTTAGAGAGCTAATATCTTTCCCTATAAAAAGATTTCTAAAAAATATCATCATACATTTTTACCTACCTTACAAAAGAAGGATACTCAAATTGTTTTTCAACACTTCTACTAGATATTTTATTTATTCATAGTGGGTTGCATAACAAAACTCACACTCAATTCTGTTCTTTCTGAGTACTAGAGCCTAGAATTTTCAGATTGACATGCATTTGCCTTTCCAAGTTCTCTAACAACCACTGGTCTTTGTGGTTCTTAAGCAGTGCCATAAACTAGAAACAGTTTTTCATAGAGAAACAAGGTTTGAAATAGCTGGGAAATTCACTGTCTAAAAAATAGCCTCAAATCTGTTTAGCTTTTACTTACCAGATATAAACCAACACCTTAAACAAATGTAACCATAAAATATGTAGGTAAATTAACATATGTTATTTCTGTAGTATTTCTACCACAGTCTGTTAATGAAACACAAATATGTCTGGATATTCTTAATCCAAAATAAATAAGCCACCATGTTGCCCTACAGACTGATTTTGAGCAGCAGTTCAATTTCATAAACGCTACAGTTTATGAAGTTGATATTACCAGCAGAATGGCAGTTCTCCAGGACATGCTCTGTGTTTTGATACCTGCAGTGTGAACATCTTTTACACATCAGCTAATTTTGGTGGTTGTTGAAATGCACAGAAGAACCAGAGTTGAACTCAAACTCGGGACTTGAGATTTGTAATTTTGGTGATTTTTCTGCATTATTATACATGCCACTGATACATTTCTGTGTCTTACATTACATTTTCACCCATATAGTTTCAAGGTTATCTATAAAATCAGTGATTCAGCATTATGGTTAGTTACATTTTTGACCTTAAATTCAAAACACCCTTCTTTTCACAACCAAAACATCCGACTTCTGAAACAGAAGGTATTGGATCAATCAGGCTTCTTTCAGTGTAGCTGACCCTCCTCCTGACATCCTGCAAGTGCAGACAGCAGATCTCTCAAAAACTGTGTATCAAAGTGCACAGATCTCCTCACATAACCCTTACAAAGCCAAATGACCCATCTGCCTTCTGTCCCCCTTCACATCATGGAGTGACTTCAAGAGATTTACTGTATCTTTTCAAGGGAAATGTGACCTGGAAAAGGCCTACTCTGCCCTCGAAGTCCTACAATTATAAAAGCTACATGGAGAAATAATGATTTCACCTCTAGAATAAATGCACTGGCATCAGTGTAACAGTGATTCATTTCAGTGTGAGTATCTCATGGGCGAGCAGCCTATTCCTCAGAAGGAATACTTACATAGATAGTGTGGCCTGGAGAGCCAGGTATACTGGAACCTGGTCTGGAATAAATGCTTTCTGATGACGTTCTTGTAGGCTGAAAAACAAAAAGTAACTTTTGAAAGCAACCTGAAGCCATCAACATTGGTAATTTTGAGTTTAAATGAAGAAATCTGCACACATCTTGAAATTAACTGAATTTAGGAAAAAATGTCAACACAAATGCAAGCATTCTGGCAAATTTCACAATCTTGTGAGGCAAGTGGGCTTTTTTTATTTTTTTTTGGTAGGGGAAGGAGTGCTGTGAGAGGGGAAAGAGGTTTTCTAAATCAAACAATGTAAAAGACTAGACTGACAATAATAAAGAACGAAATCAAACAACACCTGCCAGAGACACTGCAGGAGCCAAAGTACCATCCAGGATAGTCCTGCTGGTCATTTTAGCAAAACGTTAGTTCACAAACCACTAGAGGTATCAGCAGTTCAGCAGACAAAACTGTTGTGAGGAGCACAGCACATACATTATCACTTTCCAGGTGTTCAATCAATGGATTTCCATTATGAATACAGAACTGAATGCAGTCCTTCTAAGTAGAAGGACCTGAAATCCTTTGCTTGGATCTGTTCCCTATATCTGCAGCACCATCAGGGTGCAGCAGGGAAGTCAAACTGTTGTTTGAAATTCCATGATTCCTCATACTGCAAAAGTCATGATGTTTAATGACAACATCTGAAATTCATGAGAACAGTCCCACCCCTACAGAGCAAGTGCTATTATGTTTAGTAGATTTTCCAACACTTTGTCAGATCTAAACAGACACTGATGCCCTGGGGGAAGTTTTGTGAGAGGAGAAAACTTATCACCGAGATGAGGGGATCCTGAAAACCTGATAAATTTGAAAAACATCTATTTGATCAAAAGTCACTCTGGCTATTGTGGCAACTACTCCTAAACTTGGCACACAGCAGACACACAAAGGTAGTCAACCATATCCCACTTGCAACTGAGAAACCATAAACAATTTTTGCTTCCTAAGTGGCTGCAAAGAACCAAATCCCATCGAAAAGCAGCGCATCAGAAGATGACTCTGATGACATCAGTGCACTGGGATACTTCAAAGTCACTTGAAATTAAACCCTGGTAAACAGTCCTCACCTCATCAGCTTGTGACATTGAACTAAGGGACCTCCAGGCACACACTGAAGAGAAACAAGGCTTGACAACCTGGCTCACTGATTTTATATAGGAAATACTGGAGTGAACACAAAAAGGCTACCGGATCTTTCTTATCTCTAAGCGTACATTTCCTGAAAGGATTTTTCAATTGACCTCAGAGACTTTCTACTTTTAATTTCATAGCCAGGAAATCTATTGGAACCATCCATATATGGAATGTTGAAGACTGATTGTGGATCAGACAGCAGGCTTTCTCTGACTTCATTTGTGGAAATGAAATCACCACACTCAGGGAGCACCAGAGGAATAAAAGGCTTTGAGTATGTGCCACCAAAACCCGTGAAGATTAAGATCAAACAGAAAGCAGATGTGGCTGTGGACTGATAAAGTCACAAATACTCTCCAGAGCACATCTGAGAACACTTTCTCAGCTGGACCTTTACATGTTTCTTTTCTCTCTGTAGCTGCAAATTCCTACATCTCAAAAGGGAACAGAAGTTCTTCAGCTGCCCTTAAGCTCCTCCCATGATGCAATCAAACAAAAAAATCCAACAACAACCACTTGTTTCATGGAAATGTTACAAGAATTAAGCTGGAAAATCTGGCTGGTGTTGGGAAACACTTTACTCCCCCTTCCATTCTTCCATTTCACTCTGTTTGAGTGGAGACACATGTAGCATTTTGCTGCAGTTGCTATGGAAAACAATTGTTTTCATTACAACAGAGGGAACAGTATTAAGTACTTGAGGTACTGTTAGGGGTGTCTCTGTTACCTTTGGCTTTTGGCAGACATACTTTAAGAGTTTTGTCTGCTCAATTCTCCATGCTGTAGGAAAACAAGTCTTAGAGGCAGTTATGGCTTCTTCCCATTTGGCAGGCCCTTTGGATCTTTTGTAATTGCTTCAAAAAACGAGAAATTCTCAGCCCTCAGCCCACCTCCTTAGTCTCACCTCAGTGTCCCTGCTAAAAATCTTTTCATTTAAGGAAAATTCACTTGCATTTATCACTTCAGTGAATTTATTAAAAAAAGTTAAGACATCTTAAGAAGATAGTTTCAGCCATATCCTGTTAACAGCTTTCTTAGGTGCTCTTAACCCTGGAGTATAGGAGCAGTTGTCAGATGGACCTGCATGTTGTCGCACCTGTTCCTCATTTCCTCACTGTGTTTCTGCTCCAAGTTCCTCATTACCATCCCATTAATAAGGCCATGAGCCAGATATGACACCCTTTAAACCAGTTTTCTATTTTATATAATTCTTTCTGTGTACATCAATTTTACCTTCCATCTTCTGCAAAGCTCCACACAGCCTGGGCAGGATGCCATCCTGCCATCCACTGCCTGAGCACACGCTGCTCCTTTCCTGAGGAGCTGAATCCAAGCAGACCTGGAACTCTGAGGTTCCTCTCTTAGCTCCCAGTCCTGTATCTTGCTTACATTTATAACATACCCTCAAAGACAGTGCATGAAAAAGGACTTCTACATCTACACTCACCCTTCCTGCCTCACTTTGCCCTATTTCTTGTTTTGAATTACACAGGCTGTTTCCATCACAGATGGCTGTTTCCTACTCTGCTGCTTCCCATATGGAATGGGAATCCTTCACAGCTTTTGCACTTTCCCCTAAAGACAACTGCATTGCACTTAAAAACATTTATGCTGCTTGCCTTAACAAACATACACTAAAGATTCCTTGATAAAAGCTGTTCCTCTGGCATTATTTTAGTTGCTATGGTTGGCTCCCCTCCTAAGAGACCTGTAATAGCCCCTGACTGAAAATCTGTGACCGGGTATGGCTTTTATTAAATTGAACATTACATTTTCATCAGCATTTGAGAATCCCTGACCCTGTGTAACACCACTGTGACTTTTTACATTAAACAGCTGGCAAGAGACACGCTGGAGGTCAAGTTGTGTGTTGATGTAACTGCAGTAGGGTGTAAATTCCACCGTAGAGAGGAGCTGATCAGAGCACAGGTAAATAACAGGAATAGTGGCTAGCCCTTATGTAACCTTTAACACTGGAGATGTGGAGATAACATGTGAGCTTGTCTTGCACACATTAGTGGAAAAAAACAGGTAAAGAAGAAGGAAACAATCTTTATTATGAACACAATAATTTAGAGGTATTTACTTCCATCACAGTAGCCTTCACTTGTTCTACACTCCCAGCAACTAAACCAGTTAAGCTGCCTTACTCCTTCTACAAACAGATCTGGAACATTTTTTGTATCATTGTTCTTTTTCTTGAAGGAAACAAAGTAGAGCTTTTCATAATGCCACCTTTGTGCAGAGAAATTTCAAGAAAAATTCTATTAAGAACTAATCTTTAATTTTTCTTTTCTTGTGGTACATGGCCTTTCTCCACTTTTTCTGACAGTAGAAGAGTCATCACTTTTTTTCTTTCATCTTCCACGCAAATGGATGCAACAGTAGTAAATATATCAATATGGGATGTCTGTACCAAATACAGAAACTCTATGAAGTATATGAAAAAAAAACAATAGAAATTCAGTCAACAAAAAGTCATGCATGTCATTAAAGGAGCCAAAGGAAAAAAACAGATCACGAAGCATCTAAAGTATCTACAAGACTACTCAGTATTTTCCACTTTATCATAGAGTTCTTATTTTTATTTTTGTTCTTCATTTCATGCATTTGACTTCAATGCAGAAGTTCTTTACCAGTTTGATTTGCAGACTGGCAGAGGTAATACCAACTGTCATGCTCATCCTCTTATGCTCACTGTGAATTGAGTGCCCAATTATCATATCACCCATGCATATGCCCCAAATTGATAAACTTGATATTTTAATATTGGACTGCAAAGCTTAAGATGTTCGTCTGCATTTACCTCTGTTTGTCATGTCATCATGCATGGTGCACCATGTAAATAACTTCTAAAAAAAAAAAAGAAAAATAAAGAATCGAGCCTAGAGCCACTCACATCATCCAAATGCTGCTACAATGTGGTGGCTCTGGCATTCTAAAGTACAGATGTTCAGCATCATGCTCTATAAAAACTTACAGGTGCAGGCAACCAGATCAAAACTGATCCCAAGAACATCTGGTCAAGTGGATGCACTACTGCTTAACAAAGGCATCGTCCCCATTTACAGTACCTGCCTTAATTTTTTGATAGAGTTCATTATGCAAGGCGGTGATAATAGCTGCAGAAGAATGAATATGTTTTCACTTAATAACACTTAACATTATAGCTTCAGCAAATTCTCTAAACCTCAGAAGCTACTTTAAGTGAAGCATGTTTGTAAATAAGCTATTAGAAGTTTAGGATGGAATATCTTCTATTTGGCTGACACGACTTTGCAACACCCAGGGATTTGGGATTTCTCAGTACAACACTTGTTACTCTGACTACCTGCTTCATCAATTGCAAGGTTTTGTAGTTATTTAGGACTTGGAACCAGAGTTCGCAAAACATAGGCTTCCTACAGATTTCAGTAATTTCCAGTGGCTGTGTACAAGACCAAGAAAGCCCCTCAGTGTCAGAGCATTCACTGCGCCTGTCTGCTCTTTAACTGTACCCTCCTCCTTACAAGGGTGAATCCTTCAAATGCATGCATTTCTTATTTCTCTGCACTATATATGCATCAAGACAAAACCAGTGAAGGGGTTTAGTTCAAACTCACACAAACACAGATATTAATATGTTACAACTAATTCTTCTTTCCGCTTTAGGCACTAACGCCAGAGAGGAGAATGAATTTTCAGCACTTAATCACTGCAGGTATGTTGGTACCAAACAAACTTTTACAAGACTACTCATGCAAACTTAGCCTTCATCAAGAGTCAGTTAAGAACAAGACAGGAAAGAACAAGAAAATAAAGTGGGAAGTCCAGAACATAATGAATTCAACACAAGCTTCTCAGGAAATTCACAGGCTTTCACCCTACCATTTTCAAACTACAATCTTCATGTAGATTCAAACCTTTGGCCCACCTTTATAGTAACAGCAATGATACTATCTTTGTGTCTACTCTGCAGAACACTTGAGGCCAAATTATGCCTTGAGTTACACTTTGTAGAATCCACACATAAATCTAAACAGAATTTAGTACTGCCCAAATTTACACAAGAGGATATTCATCTGACCCTAAGCTATTTGTATCCCACACAGTCTACAAAGCAAGGAAGAGAACATTCCTTTATTTTGACGTGGGCTGCCCCTATTTTGCCTTGCATATTTTTCTAATACGTTGGATAGGATTTGGTCTTTTAATCCTAAGGCTCCTGGATTTCAGCACTGGAAACTCAGGCTCGTGCATGCTAAGCTGAATGCAAAAACCACTACACTAGCCTAAAAGATGAGTGAAATGGTCCCACAGTTTGCTGTTCTTAGACTCCAACATTCAATTCCATAAAGCCTAGGACTGAAGAGACATTGCTCTCTTAAGAGCACGGATAACATGGGCTGTATTTTCCTGATACACAGATCTGTAGCTAGCAGAGAGTAATATTCAAGAGTAGTTAAGTGACTAAACTACTGGGCAGGACAGAGAGTACAGGGTTTGCATTAACCCCCATTTAATCAGAGTATTGGATCCAACCACCTAAGAGCATCCTGCAGACTGGATCTATCACACACATCCTGCCCTGGCTGACATGTGACCACATCTACTTTGCAATTAGAGATGTGAAGGCCACATGAACTGACACAATGGAAATCCAGTGGCATGGACTCTCTCAGCCTGTCTGCCCACTGCCAGCCTGTGCTAAGTCCATACCAGAGCATTCTGACTTCATCACCAGGTGAAAACTACCTCAGGCACACCTGCATGCAGCACAGCCACACGTCCCCTACAGCAGACACACCTAATAAATAAGCACTGCCCTGAAGGAGAAGAAATGGAAGTGGGTGGTGTCTGTAAGTGCAAAGCAAACACAACGAAGTCTGAAAGTAGAAAGCTATTCCAGAATCAAGAGGACAGAGAAGACCTTGCAACTGAGATGTGGATGTGCGCCAGATTAGAGAGAGGCAAATGCTCTCAGGCAGCACATGGAATATGCCCAAACCTGGAATTTTGTAAATATTTTCTCAACTAAAGTATTCATGTGTGTTTGGTCGATACATATAAAAAAGGAACTGATTTAACTAATGGGATTTTTTTTTCCTAAAAACATAAGTAATTGTTCATGGAAAACAATTTCTTTTTAACCATTGCTTTAAAGTCAGATGCTTTTCACCATTTTCATTTGTTTCATATTTGCACTCTGATTTTTTGTTTCATGAGAAAAACTTTCTGGAATACTGGAAGACCAATACTACAACCCCCAAAAGCTCATCTGAACCTAAAAAAAATAAGTTAATTTTAAGCATTTCATTCAACAAAAAATGTGAGCATTAACAAGCAACACTGAAACAAGTGATGCAAAATACAGCGTCAGTGCCCATGGTGGCAAGTGATAGCAGGAAAGCTGTGTGGCAGGACTAGTAGCAAGTGCAGCAAATGACAATAATGAAGAATCTTCTCAGTAAAGAAGATCATTATCAACACTATGAAAACACAACAGCAAACCTCTGCAGAGCGTGGCCTGCGCAGAACCAGACTCTTTGGATAAAAGAACTCAGATGAGGAATGCTGTCATGAAACACAAAAGGGAAAAATGAGTGAAAAGGAAAGCAGTTTCCCCAGTTCAGTGGTTAAGCTCTTTTTTCAATCAAGTTACTAATATCTACTTGCGTTATAGTATCTGTTCTACTTACTGATCACTGCAGAATCATGAACAGCCAGATAGTTTTAAATAAACACCTAAACAATATACATTATGGTTGTTCTGTTTTCTGTTTGTTTTGGCTTTGTAATATTCCACAAGTATCCATGGAGGGAAGATCTAAAGCAACCCCTGCTTTAATGAACTCCCTTTCAGATCTTGACCAGCTAGAATGATGATTAGTTTAGATCACAATTCAGTCACTAAAAGAAAACAGAACTTGCTGAAAACTTCTGAAGTTACTTTAGTGATAAAAGGGCTTTTTGTTTTGTTTTGTTTTGTTCCATAGGGAAAGGAAACCCAGCAAGCAAATAGGCAATGGCACTGGCTTTTTGCAGAACCACCAGAAAATCTAGGCCTAACCCTGAAAGTGGCTATTTGTCAACTCAAAAACCAGGTTCCAATTCTCACCATTAGGTCTAAATGTATGTCATAAGAAACTGAAATTCAATTAAAATACAATTCCTAAGTTAGTGCTGACATGCTCAAATAGCACATAGTTCCCCCAGTTTTGTTTGTTTCTGTACCTACCTGTTTGCTACTTCCTTCATTTGGGTCAATAGAATGAAGCATGTGTCAAAGTCATCAAAGTGAACTCCAATTAATTTTAAAGTGTCTGACTTTGCACCAGAGTAGACAACCTCTGATGTAGTGTTGAAGCTAAAAATGCTCCATCTCTCAGCCAGCTTCAGTATGATGCATTTGTCAGTGCCTTTTAAAGACATATTAAACCTCTGCATAGAATCTCTCACTCAGGAACAAGGCAACCTAGGATAGCTGTACTGTAACATTTCTCAGATGTTCCCTCAATACACCTTCTTTCGCTTCACTTTATTTTCCTGCAAGAACTCACTTAAAAAAAGCCTTGCAGGTAAATTAATTAATTTACTTCATTCACTTCAATTAAAATTAGCTGAGAGGGAAGAATACTGATGTGTTAGAATATGTGACAGAAAAAAGGAAAATACTTGAGGAGGACTATGGCCACTTCCATGGGGAATGGAAGTAAACCAACTGATTTGTAAGGTCCAGCTGGAGAAGGTTCTCAAGGGCCGCAGTGTGGTCAGGAGTGCTTTGATAAGACTCCTGGGTCCGAGTGAAAGGAAGGTATTGTACCCCAACCATTTACCACAAAGCACAAGTGTTCTCACACTTAAGCATGGCTAAAACAGTGTCAAATTTACATTCAAATTGTTAAATGAGGAAGAAAATCCAGTCTGGTATAATTTTCCATTTTCTTATGAAAAGTCAGCACAGAACAATGTGTGAATGCTGGATGGCACCTGCATTGATGTTAGGCCATTCTAGACAATATACCCATGAAGGGTCAATTATACTTTTGCCCACACTAATATGGACTCTGCACAACAAGAATTTACCTGCACATTACCTATGATCATAATAAATTCTTTGCGGGGAATGTTCTACAGACCAGTGTACTGGAATAAATGCTAAAGAAATGAATGAAACCCACAGAGAATACAACCCACAGGATACTGTAGGTATCTCCACACCAGTACCTCTTAGTTTCCCTGTCTGAAAGACGTTTTATTCACATGGAGTCTCTAATTCTCACATCCTGACAAATTAGCAAAATTCAAGGGACCAACTGAAATATCAAAAGGAGTAAATTGTCCAGAAGATGAATTAGTGAATAAGGGCTTAGAATTGCCTGGTGCACACAAAAAGCCAGGCTCTAGCATTCATCAGTGCAGCATTATTGTCAGGATTTGATCCAGAAAGTTTGTCTGGATATGCTGAAGTGACTCCAAGGGTAACTGTGGCTCTTCTTGGCATTCAAATTAGGATCACTTCAGGTTGAGGTTTACTTGTATGGCAAAGGAAGAAGAGTTCATCTTGTCTAAATGCTACAAATAACCACTCAGAACAGGGGATAACTATAAAGCAATTACACAGATGTGCAAACCCACTAAAATATATGGTAGCATTTGCCCTGTTCATATCTTCTCCTTAAGAGTCTCTCTCACAACAACTGAGATATGAAATGAAGTGTCTTAGATACTTTGCCACGTCTGTATGTCAGTAAATGACACTATCTTTAAGGCAGTGCACTGAGACAGGTATGTGAAGGTGGTAAGCCTAAAAATCAGAGCAATACCTCTGAAGTGCCTCCACTGTATATTCTGCCAGAGTTGTGACAGCTATGTGAAAAAAACATGGAAAAAGTCACTCTTTTAAAAACAACATTCAATTATCGTGTGTGCAAAATGTATGGTGTGTCATTGCCATGAATTCAGCTTACCCGGAGCTTATCTTCTGTCTTAGTGGATTGCTTACAGTCGGGATGCCAGACAGTGGAACCTGAGGGAGGAAAGAAACCCATCTTTATTCAGAGCAAAGCAGATGACTTCTGGTTATGATAAGTCAGTTATGAAAGCGAATCACTTCATGGCATCAGGTGGTGAATCTGTATGAACTATGCGAGTAATTCACAATAAAGTCTAGTTTTTGAGAAATACAAGTGAAACTAAAAGATATTCAAATCCCTGGCATATCTACAGCAGCCTTGTCCTGGGGCTGCCAAAGCACTTTGCACACATTCTTAATTAAAACTCAAGCAGTCTCAAGTAGCAAGAGAGTCAGCGAGCACCAGCTGGAGGAACAGAAAGACAGAGGGTTCCTCTGGCAGGATGGAGACTAAGAGCAGAGGAACTGGGCCATGGTTACTTGATCTGTTCTCCCCTAATGTCCTACACCCCACGTAAAAAGGAAATTCTGACTCTAAGTCCATGAGCAGTCGGTGTCATATTCAGTTACTGTAAAGTATCACTCAGAATACTTCTTCCCTGCACTTATGCAAAATGAAAAGCAAAATTAGAAAATTCACAACACAGCAGAGTCAGGGCTGTCTACAGGGCTGTAGAGGCCAGTAAGGCAGGTGGTGCAAAGCAGCATGTGAAAGAGCCTCTCCCCAGATCCCAGCACACTGCATATGCCGTTGGCACAGACATCACTCCTACTCCCTTGCTCTGCAAGGTCAGTGGCACGTGTGGCTCTGGTATTTCCAGCTATACATCCTACTAAAAAAGTCAGGGCCTCTGCCGTTTGTTTCCCAAAATTTGGGATTCTTTCATGCTGTAAAAATGGAAATATACGGCTGTTCCCAAGGGCAGAGCAATGTCAGGGGCAAGGAGCATTTTCATCACATTTCAGTTCTCCTTTGGAACAGAGTATAAAATGTGGTCACTGCTGGGAAGTTGCTGGTAGGTATCAGCCAAGTTGAAACGGAGCGAAAGCTAATGCTGGTTTTTAACACTGACTGCATCTGCAGTCAAATTCATACTTCACTCCAGTCACCACAAAGCCAACACAGAGCCTTGAACTATCTGCAGGGAGGAACATCACCTCTTCACTCTGTCCACAGACAAACCAAACAGAGCAGTCCAGGTCTCCTGCTGGTGACTATTAGCTCAAGTGCAGCCAGAGGAAACCCCACCCTCAGAGCCCAGGGGAGGTGTGGGTCAGGGCCCCTGGAAATTTTGTTCTAATGAACCCTTACATGGCGTGGTACAGAAGTAAAGACCAGCAGGAGTCATTTCATTTCCCAGCAGTACACAACATAATCATCATCAGGAGACAGGAGAGAATGCTGTGACTCCGGATCAAGGTCTGAGATGTTTGGCTTTGAGTCCAAGCCGAGGAAGAAGAAACTGTGCGTTTGGCAGGGGGAAACCATCAGTCAACAGGGAGAAGCGTACCAACAGCCTTCTCTGTAAACAAACAGCAGCCTCAGAGCCAGGGCCCCACAGCGCCTGCCAGATCAGGAGACAGGCGTGCCCTGTCCACTCAGGAGGAAGAGAGTTCACGTTGTGAGTCCGTATCATGTTATAAGAAGTGATCTGAGTAACACTTTACTGAACATGACACTTATTGCTCAAGGATGAGCTAAGACTCAGAAGGTTTAGGTTCAACTCTCAAATCCAGCTTTGAGCTTCTTTCCTGTGTGGCACTGAGAAAAATGATCCCTATTCCTCTGTGCCTCACTGTTACGTTAAGAGTTGGAGTTGATGATTTAGAGGCCTTTCCAATTTTAATGATTCTATGATTCTTTCCTATTAAACTATCCCCAGTATCAAAGAAAAAGCTGTCACTACATTTTGGGCAGTATTTATCACGAACTGGCACAATTACAGGGACACCCCAGGAGAATGCTGCAGCTGCTGAAAGCGAACAAGAAATGCAAGTCTGGATGTCATTTTCATGGTGAAATTTAGCTAATGGTTGTGAGTTTTCTTCCACAAAACAATAAGAGATTTGGAATTTAAATTTGTGAAATTTAAAAACTCAAATCAGATAGAGCAGGTTAGGAAACTAAATGTAAGTATTTTTCATGATCTATTCATCCAAACATGCCAATCTATTTTGAAATGCTTGGAATGGTGCAGATTCTCAAGCTGCATCGCTCCTCTTTTTTTTCTACCAGAAATAGTTCAGCAAATTGTACTTATTCCCATTCTTAATATATGTTTGTTTGCTCACTTGGCAAAGACCAACTTGTTCATTTATTGTTATTCATAGCATATCCATTTATTCAGCTTTTTACTTTGCATGTACCATTATTTCAACATCAGCATCCCTCTAAATACTGGGCAACATGCTAAGCACAGCAACAGCCTTCTGGGCAGTCCATATAATAATATAATAATGTATTACCAGGTAGTCAATGGGAAAGAGAAAGTTTCTGGCGCTGCTTCTTTCTCATTTTTTGTGAGTTGGAGAAGTGCCAAGTCAGAGTGCTTCTGATTTGTTCAAACTATCCTTAACATAGAAAGCCCCAAGATAGACAGCTTGTTTTTCCATGTTCTCCTTTTGCATGTTTCCCACACATTTCTAATAGAAGTTTCTACCACAATCCTGCCAGGCTCCTCTATTCTACAAAGCAAATACCAGCAACAGTGCTTTCATATCCTGGGGAGAGGACAATTAGAAGCGAGATGGAAGCTGCGTACTTTTATGTATTTTATCAAAAATGTGATTTTAGTTCTAGCTTCACTGTTGTGGCGTTGTTATTTTTAATTCAGAGAAATGCTTGGAATGATGTTATTCTGCACCCTAGAGTAAATTATTTGGAGGGAGTCAAGATATACGTTTCAGCTGAGAGCTCTGTACAGGAAAGGCTTTTGGGTCCTCACACTGAAAAAGTACACTGAATTCAGCAAGGAAAGCCTTGGCAGGACAGTCTGGAGCACACTCAGAGATAACACTATTTAGTCAGAAAACAGCTTGTGAACAATAAAGCAATTTGGGCTGCTCCTCCCCTGAGACAGAGTGACCACAAAGAACACTGATTCACAATCACAGAGAGAGAGATACAGCTAAAAAGAGAAAAACAGCAGATGAGGCAGCCAGGTTTCTCTCCTCTCCCCTAGCACCTAAACTTGGACAGGACAAAGTCTAGTGTAGTTTAAGTAGAAGCAATGCCTTCTGTCTTAGTTTGACCTGTAGAAACTTACCCCAGAACCTGCCCAATCAACCTGAACTCCCACTCTCTGCTGCATTCAGACAAACAGCATCAGTCGCAAACAGTTGTTATCAATAACAGCAAAGGATGAACTGATGCTCACCTCAAACTCTGCCTGTACTTTATCACACCATGATGTAAGGAAACTAAGAAGATTACCGGTTGCCAGATGCTGTAACTGCTGCTTTCAAATTAGTCTTTTCAATTTGCCATTAGAAAGCAGTACTTCCTACCCAGCCCTCCTGCAGCCTCTCCTTGCTCCTGCAATGCAGAGCTGCTACACAACTTGACATCCAGTTCTGTGCACAGCTGGAATAAGATGACTAAGGTAAAAGGTCAGTGAGAGATGAGAGAGACGGACTACAAGGGAGGGCAAACTACAAAATAAAACAAGTTAGCTTCAAAGGAATTCCTTAACAATATTATCCTATTTTGGAACTCCTCCAGAAAGAATCTCTCCTCAGGATTTCAAGAGATGGCTGCATTAACACACTCATAATTTTTTCACTATTTTTCTACAGTCCTTTTCAGGTAGAGCAAACAAGTTTTCTAACCTAAGAGCAATATACAAAACCCAAGCATGTATCTCCCTTTTTCACTTTGATTTCTGGTTTACATAAATGGGTATTATACATTCCTCTACCAACATTAATTAATACTACAGCAAGTAATAACAATAACTGTAGCTTAATACTTAATGGGCTACATTCTCCAAGAGGAGGTGGAATTCAGATCAAGGTTACTTTTCAATCAAGGAAAAGATCAAATTCGTTTTTATGTGAAAAGATCATGAAAAAACCAAGCTTGTCAATACCTGGGAGTGTGAGACTGTTAACAAGAAAGAGGAGATGGAAATGAACATTCAAGAAAGAAGTGACTGTAGAAAGACATAAGGTACACAGGAATAAAAAAAGGGACATGACCAGATAGAAGGGCAAATACGATTAAGAACCAGAGGAGATACTCTGTCAATGTTCATGAGGAATGAGACCTACATGGTTCAAAACAAACTCACTGCAGCCTCTGGAAATTTTTCTTTTGCCTTTTAAAGTTTGGAGTGTGGTCCAGAAGAGCACAGAAACAGACCAGAAGAAATCAGGGGAAACCCCTTCACTTCCTCTGGTATCTCCTATACCAGTGTGGGTGCTGAGCCATCCACGGCATGGGAAATGCTGAGGCAGCCTAATAAGCTTCATTTTTGCTACACAGCTTTAGCAAACACAGTCTGCCTCAGTTGGGGTGCAGAGTCACTGCCAAGCCACAGTTATGACTGCCTAATAGAGCAAAAGGGTTTCAAGTGAAAAAGTATGAGAACATGACTTTATTCCTCTTGGGCCATATTACATGGAGATTGTTTATAAACTCCTGAGGTCTGTGGTAGAAAAATTCCAGAGTCTGATTTTCCTGTTTTGGAATGGAGACATCCTTACCTTGCAGATACATTTCTTCTCCTTCTGTGAACATTTGGTTGCACCTGCTGCATCGTGCACAGCTTGGATGATAATGCTTGTCACCTGCCTAGAGAAAAACAAAAAAGGGACATGAGGGACAAACACATTGTACTGCTTTGTGACAGACCACTATTTGCAAACAGACCATTGTCCTTTTTCTTCCAGTTCACCTGTTATGCTACAACATTGCCCTCATGATGTGACAATAGTGATCAGAATGTAAGCTCTGCCATACTGCTTCAGCCCTGAGGTCTGTCCTGTCCTCAGCAGAGGCCAGCAGCAACTATGTGGGAAAAAAGACTGTAAGAAACAAGACAATACAGAAGAGCCCTTCCTCTTCACACCTTCCTATTCAAGTAATCAGTAGCTTAAAGTCTTCCTGGTTAGGGGCTACATCAGAATGTATCTGTTTTCCATGATTTGACAAACATCTTTTTAAATCTTCATCTCTCTAAGAGTCCAAGGCAATGGATGTCACACTGCAGTGAGATACTTGTGTAAACCTGCTGCCTTCTCATTTTGTCAAACAGCACGTTTTCTCAACTGCTCCATTGTTACAGAAGAATTTAGACAATGAATGATTTTTCAACCTGCCATTTAATTCTTTGGCCTTCTTCCCAATGCTGCTGATATGGCATTAATGGAGAGAGGTTTCTAGAGCCACTTCTGGGACTATTAACTTGATTCACAGATGTCTGACTCCAGAAGCTACACTAGCACAGAGAGCTTGAGCTGAATTTGAACTACTTTATAAAGATGCTAAATACCCTAGATCCTGTTACCCAAATCCAAATCCACTGAGTCATTCATTCTCTTAAATACATTGACACCCATAATAGGCAAAGCTGACCAGATTTCAGGACTATAGGGACAGGAAAAATCAAGGCCCAAATATTAATGTGAATTCTTTTCCTTAGGAGACCAAAGCAATCAATGCACTGGCTTCCTCTCATCAGAAACTAAGTGCACAATGTCCACATCAGACTTTTTAATTGAAAAACAATTAATCCTACAAATAATTAATAGTGACAAGTAATGCATTCTAAAAGGTTTTAAAAGTTGTACCTGACTTTCCAAACAAGTTAACCTCAAATCCTTTTTCACAAGGATTCACAGAATATTCCCTATCCACTGAGCTGTGATTTGAAAAACAAGTCTATAGATGACTTGTTATATGTCATCAAAACCATTTCCTACCTCATTATACTTAGGACTATAATATTACTAAATTCAACCTTTCGTTATGTCTATTGAGATGAATAATGACATATTTTTGGTTCAAGTCTGACATTGATTATACAGGCTTACTATTTAAAAGCATTTATATGAGAGGATGAAGCGAATGGGTTTAAGTACCTGACAGCTACCAGAAAACCAACTCTACCACCCACCCCTTCTATAGGAAAAGTCACACCATTTAATTTTAATTTAACAATTCCCATTCAGGAATTTCAACAATACAAGGCCAGAGAAGAGGGCTCAGTGTGCTGTTAGTTTAGCCATACATTTCACTGTTCAGTTGCAAAAAACCTGCACTTCTCTTACTCAGATCCTGCCTCTGTTGTTGATTCCTGCTTCTTAGGGGCAAAATCCACCAAATAGGGAGACTAATGTGATTTAGGGTTTTTTGCACAGCATATTTAGAGCTACCAGACAAAAAAAGGTCTCTGATAAAAGGGAGAATGAAAAGTCACTGCAAAATATGCCCACATGAGGAAGAAAAGCTAATGAGGGAGAACTGATGTTTGACTTGAAGCAACAAACCCAATATTGAACTGAGAGAGAAAAACACAGTTAATGCTCATTCTCTTTTTTTAATTTTCATTACTGGCTGTCCTCTTCATCTCTCACTCTCTCTAGCAATTATTTAACCTCTGAGCCATCCCATTAGTTTCATTCAAGACTGGAATTTAAGAAAAAGAAAATTAAGAATGTCCAAATGTATCTGAAACATAACACTGGCATCAAACAACAACTATTCTGATCTTGAGTGCAAACATGCAACAAACAGCTACTTTATATATATATATATATACTATATATATATATATATATAAAAATAGCTGTGGATATACATATATATATATACATATATATACATATATATGCCACTTTGGGCTGTGAATATTGAAGAGGATTCAAAGATAGACCTCCAGTTCAGATAACTCATCACTCAGCAGATACAGACACCCTCTTCTGGATTTTCTGCCTCACGCAAACAATATTGCATGTACAGAGGAACAACAACTCTATCTGTGTTTGGCAAAAAAAATAATCCTAACTTTTGAGCATTCCTGAAGTTCTTCAGCTGAGCAAGGCCCACAGAGTTCCTTGTTATGAGTGATTTTAGACTTATTTGATTTAAAGATGATGGCAAATCTGATGTCTTGGGAACTGCTCCCAGTTAATGAGAGATAAAAAATTCCCAAGAAGGTTGAATCACTGCCAAAAAGGATCTTCTCCAAAGAGGAAGACAATAACTGAAAAACAGATTTGAAATAATAAAACAGGAATCTTTTGGGGAGGGGGGCCTCTGACTGTGTCATGAAACAAAAGAATATCTCTGCAGCATAACTGTGTCACTTAACAGAGCTCAAATTTTAGTAGGTACATGGCTTTTTATGAAATAAAATTTGTACTTTCTCTAAAGATATTCAGCAGGGTAGCTAAGGAGCTACACAGTCTGAACTGGAAGAGTACGGGGTCTGTTATGTTATTTTAAATTAACCTTTGAGATATCCTGTCTGGGATGGGATTGTGCTCTGTGAGATGCTTACCAAATTCCCAGACATGAAGGACCGAAACTTTCCATTGTCAGATGAAGTAGATTTTATAAAGATATAATTCCCTGCCAAGTACCCTGATGCTCAACTAAGGTAATGTAGTTTTAAGAAGGGTAGTTATGATCCAGTAGAGATATCTATAGTAGAGAGGACCATGGCATGTGGACAAAGAAAATCACACATCCACACGGGCACAGTTTCAGCTTCTGTTCTTCCAGTCTGGCCTTTCAGATGTGGTGGTTTGGGTTTGAGTTTCTTTTGACTTTTTGTTTCCTTGGCTTTGTTTGTACGTCTTTCTGTAGAAACAAGACCATGTTGCACCTATGTTTTAAACAAATGATGCATCTCTTTTTTATAAGCAGAAGGTGCCAATCCTTTGGGTTTTCCATAGCTGCTCTGACAGTCATATCACAGGCTTCTGAGCTCCCTGTTCCTTGTTTTTGAGTCAATTCATACTAATTTTGATAAGTTACTTCTACTATCGTGATCCATACTTTGTCCTAAAAGAGTCTGTATCCAGCCCATCTAGTGCCAAAATTGAGTCTTTCACTTGTCATTATCATATGATAAACATTCCACTTACTTTTCATCTAACCAAAAAGTTTTTTATGAGGATCTTTTAAGAAAGGGAGCCTGGATTCAAGTACTCATCTGTTAATTGCTACAAGCAGTTTACATGGTTTTAAAGCTATTATATATCCTATTAAACTATTTATAGGATAAACAAATCCAGAATTCATCACATTATTATGTGTAGAACTGTGGCCTCTCTGAAGACTTTTTTCCTGGAAAAACCTCTTATATTAAATGATGTACATCTGCCATCTCTTCAAAGCAGGCAGAGATCAATTTAAGTTTATCAGGTCTGAAACAACTGGCCAAATTTTAGCCCAGCGTGAGTGATGACTGAACACCACACCCCAGATAACACAACCCTGCGAAGTCTCAGTGCTAACACACCCTGCACTGGAGAGGTTTGTGGGGAGTTACACACCACAGCTGCTGCAGATGTTGTTGAGCACTTCCAAAACAGTTTCATGAGTTTTCAGCCTCAGTAACGTTTCTACAATTCATGAGTGGGAGCCTTTCTACAGTGAGTATCCACTGGAAAACATTCTGAATCTCAACTAACGCAGGACTAATCTTGCTACACCTGACTTGCTGTGATCATCTGGGAAAATGGTTGCTACAAATCAGTCATTTATAATGTATTAGGAAAACCTTTTGGATCTACAAGGCAATGAAATATTCACACTTTTTAGACATCTGCTTTTGCCCTTTTAGGGCTACTAAACCTTCATTAAGTATGTCCAGTGTTCAGCTTCCTGTGATGTTATACTGCTGTGCTCTGAATTATAATATTTGCATCGCAATCCTCACGGCAGTAACAGGTGACATAAATTAAGTGCACATCTGCCCCAAGCATTCTTCAGCCAAGGTGCAAGAGGGTTAAAGAAACTTGCCTAGCTCTCCTCACCCCTTCTCAAGTTCACATCCAGAAATCTTTTGCAGTTAGCTGTGCTATACAGCCACTAGGTATTGATTTACCATACTGTTTATGATCCCATCTGAACTATTCCAGATTTGGTTGAGGTTTTCTGGGCTATACAAACCATCAAGCACAAACTGTGACCCACACCTTAGAGGACTGTCCCTAAACTAAGATTGAGCAAGCTAAATTAATTGCTGTAAATACTTTGATTTTGCATAGCTAGAAGTGCTAAAACCAACCACGATAATACTGAATATTTTTACTGTCCCTTTGCATACAAATTCTTAAATGGAATTGAATGAATTGACAGCAATTTATTGTCAAGTGAAATATTAAACTTGTGTGTTGCTGTCACTGCTTATAAAGTCTTTGTTAAATCACCTGGCACTTGAATTAGCCCTAGAAGCAAAGAACATCAGTTATCAATTTATAACAATATACAAGCACTTCTGACTTTCCTATTTATCTTCTACCCACACTGACAAATCTAAAATAGGTTCTCAGATTAAATCCCATTTGTACACAGTAGACAGAAAAATTAGATTTGAAAAAAGTAGTAGTATGTACTCATTTACCAAACATTTACAGAGCCTTAGACTTGCAGAATGAAGGAACAGTAGCCAAAGGTATACTGTAAGCATAATTATGAATGTACCTGTATGAATGCTAAATTTGAGTAACCCCATGGCTAAATTTGAGTATTTTTTCCAAGGTTCTGCAAGTCTCACTGATTGGTGACTGACCACCAATATATGAGTTTTATTTATTTTCTATATACTACTAAATATATAT